TACGCATGCTATTTCTACTTCATTACGTTTTGCTAATAAGAAGTTGAATTTAGGACACGTGTCACTAGAGTGGTCCAAATAACGCTGAAATCCCTCCCTTCAAAGAGTAAATCGGGCTTAAAGTTACTAGATCCGCTTTACACATAGCAAGTTTGCATTGTCATGCGACCTTGGATTTTGTTGGCTAGTTGTAAAAATTTAAAAAAGCTGCCATTTAATTTTATATTAGTTACGTAAGACTGCGAAATGTTCTGGTCTTTTAATGTAAAAACAATTATTTATTAATTTGAATTAAACCCTTCATGTTATCAAGCTTTTTTTAAAGAAAAAATGACAAACAATTAATCTCTTGTTAAAATGCATGTAGTCTTAATCACTTTGAAAAGCTATGACTGCGTAAGTTCTCTAGACCTAATATATATTAATAATATATAACAAAGCAGCTTAAATTTACCACACACATCCCAAAACCGTTATTCACGCGTAATTTGTCCGAATCCTATTTAATGGATGCTTGGTTTACTATATAGTGCCTCTTATCCATCACTGACTTTGGTGGTCTGCTGATCGTCAACATCCCATGATTGGTGGCCTGATTTCTGGCTTTCTTGGGATGTTCGATGATTGAATATCGCTCTAGATTTTATTAATTAACCAACTCACTAATTACACGACTAATACTGAACAAAATTATTGCATTAAATGTGACCTTTCATACCTTTTGTTTGCTTTTCTTGTTGAATTAATTATTGTTTTTGCTCTTCATCACTTGGTATATCTTTTTGAACTCCCCCATTAATATACAATAATAATACACCTATGTGATTTCTTATAAACGATATTGGTTTGTGTTTTAATTGCGGTTAAAGTATCTAAACTTATACATCTTCTTGCCTATTTTGCTTTTTAAACCTATTTTTGTGTGTTTTTTCTCCCACTGGTGGTCCCTCCATTCCAGCCTACGTACAGTGGTCTCCTATACTAATCTTTAGTCTACAACGACAGTTTCATAGGGTCTTTACTGCCATAGCAGTGACTAACTCAATCATAGACGTCGATTCTTTTTAGCTCTATGGTCTGATATTTGACTTCGGGAATAAGTGCATAGTCGACGCCCTTAACAAATCTAGCCGTCAGGTATTTATTTGAATCAACGTCGGCTGTTTTTGAAGTACAAAGTTAAAAGTGAAAAACAGACTCCGTTTAGCACTGCTTTAGAAATTCTTAGACGTAATAAATTTAATATACAGGCAAACCGAATTCCAGCCCACAGTCTCGCATTAAGTATTAACAACTGGTCGCGCAGTTAATGCTCGAGCACGTCGACTCCCACCCTACCAGACAGTTGACGGTTAACCGGGACTTAAACACACGTGGTGATTTGGAGTTGTCCGATGACCAAAAGCCTCGGATAATCATCGTTGCACATGGTTCCCTAAAAATTCGTTTGTAAGTGGCATCAATGTGGTAATTATCATGCTTTAGACGCAATCGCTTATTTGGATCACTACATTATGCTACGTTTGCATGATTTTATGCAAAAACTATTTGGTAGATATGTAGTTTGTATGGTTAGATATGGTATGAGCCTATTATCTGAACCTGGTAGAAGAAATTTTGAAAGCGGCTTATTTGAATTTTAAAATGGTATTTCCTTTTTTAAAATAAAAAAAGTTAAGTTTTTCACCTACAACGTGTTACGCGGTTGGTGCTTTTTTGTACGCCCATGATTTTTTCATTGCTAATTTGTTTCATGAGGATTATATGGCAATTCTACACTTCCTTCCGATGCCTCAACGCATATGCTTTGGTTATCAGTCCATTAAAATGTGCCCTTGAAGTTCTAAAACCAAAAGTTTCTGGAATTCATCATCGCCGCTACGGGTCTAAGGCTTGCACACATTGTGTTAAAGCAGATCCCAGAATTCCTAAAACCACATTTCACAAATCAACTTTGTCGCCTCTTGGACATGACAAATGTTTACATCGATTGCGTTCCAATGCATTAAGCATCTTCTACGGCTGACCGATCTATTTAAAGTTTACTCGATAAAACTAACCATGCTGACAAGGCAGGCACAGCTTTCACAGCCGCAAATTTGGCTTTGAAAAAGAAAACCACTCTCTACTTACAATTAGATGCCCCTCTGTCTACCTTAACCAATGCGTTTGAATCGGCGGCTAATACAGTCTTACTGTAAACCTTCAACGGAGTAGAGCAGCCTCTGATTTATTTCTAACAAAAGTTCAGCGAAACTCTCATTAGTTACAATGACTTCGGCCGCAAACTTCTAGTCATCGTTGTTAAAAATTTGAGACGTTTCATCAAAGATCGGCATTTCACGATTAACAAAGACCACAAACCACTGATCTGTCATAAACGTTAAGCTTCCAATCGATTGTCAACAGGAGACTTGGTACACTTGGATTACATCCTAAATGTTTTGACCAACATTAGTCACGTCAAAGATATAGACAATAGTGTAGCCCATGCACTCTGTTTTACTCACACAGATGCAGTATATACAGGTGCACACGTAGATTTTCCAAGATAGAGCGATTGTTCTAAAGTACAATCAATAAAATGAAGCACTTCAGGAAGCAAAAGGAAGTTTTAAAGCTAACAAGTGTCTGCTTGAATACACCCACACACCTTATTGCTAGCAAAATTCCAAGCAGCTTGTAACGCCTCTTTGTCCCAAAATAGAAGCGCCATTGGGTGTTTAAACCCCAACGCAATCCTGCCTATTCTTGTCAACGAGCAACAAGAAAGCATTTACTTAACCGTTTGCATGGCCTGCCATGATCGAGATACACAACAATTTACCCAAAGTTGCGTAAGCTGCCAAATATCCAAGGTAGACAAGCACAAAAGTCGATCCCACAAACGTTGATTTTGTGGGACCCTTTCAGCGCTCAAGATATTTCCGTTACTTTTAAACGCCTTACTTGACAGCAGGACGCTTTCCTAACGCAAGAATTCCCTGCCAAAGTCGCAGTTAAAACTTTTTCTAGTAAATGCGTTGCCTTATTTGGCGTCTTCTATCGTACAATTTAACCAACAATAAGAACGCATTATCGTCATCCTAAATCACGTGGTGCTTAAATTACATGCACGGAAACAAAATCCGTGGATATCCAACAAATCTGCCTTGTTTGTACCGCACAACGATAAAAATGAATTTTCTAAATCGAAACTCACAGATCTAGGCGTCCATGAGGTGTATGTTCAGAAACACAATTTCCGCCAAATCTTCAATGTAATCCTAGAGCTCTAAGCTTCCACCAGTGCAATCTTGTACTCTATGTGAGGCCAGGTTACCTACCTAAACTAGAAACTACCGTCCAGTTCGCGATCAGTAGACTGAAGAAACGATCGAAAATAAGCATTGATAGGTAATCGTTAAAGTAAAGATAGATCACGAGTTGCATAAAATCACAAGAAGAGCAATAAGCGGAACTGCGTTTTTTAGGATATTTCGGTAGTAAAAATCGACAAAAGTCTGATAAAATAATCGTTCACAAGTAAATTAGCTGACTGGTTAGCATACTTATTCATGAAAAAGAAATCATATAAAATAAAAACAACACTTTGCCAGATTGATACAAGCAGCAAGCTTTACTTATTCGTCTCGTCAAGGTGATGTTGCGGAAGCCAATGCTCTCATCACTTTACCTAGTATGTATGAGATGTGAGACTGCCCGTTCTGCTTTTCACTGCCCATTCAATATCTGTAGTGCTATCATTATTTAAATAAACAGCACTACCCTATAGGCAGATACTCAGAAAAATTCACTCTAAATTAATTTTAGCCAGAATTGCCAAGTATTTGTAATCAGCGCATTCTGACATGAATTTCATCGTCAATATTTGTTTTATATTATTCGAATTTTTTTTTCTTAGAAAGCAAAGCCTGTTTGGACGCTGCCTTGTCTTCTTTGCAATGTGAAGATTCGTTCTTATGTAACTTAATCAAGTATTTGTCCATTATTCACGCGTTTCAGCATTCGATAAAATGTGTAATGACGGAAATACCCAACTTAAGTGGTCACTTGCTAAAATGGTGGGTTGCATAAAAGAAGTGCAGATTTAGCTAAGAAAAGCTCTAGTTGATTTACATAAATCTACATGACAGATAATGCCTGTTGTTTGTTAAAAGAAAAAAATCGACAAATAACCTTATTGATGACCATCAACAAGAATTTCAAACAAAAATAAAACTGTGCTCTTTCATTCAATTCTAGACCTGTAATCACTGTATTGTTTAATGCATATGCATATTATTTTTTTTTGGTTGTTATAATTAATGTATGCTTGTTAACTTATCGAGGTCGAGAAAAATGCAAAGTGAAACACAAAATTATATCTTAGAATTCTGCAGAGTATTTTTAGGTAGATTAAGTCGAAAATATTTATTGTGACTCGCCGAGCCCTAATTGCAGTTTGACAAGTTCAGAGGCTCAAAACGAATTCTCAACAGTCTTAATAATTATTGGAAGCGTACTTGAGTAGCTAATCATAAAGTGATAATTTACTTGCTGAAGAACAGTAGTAAATAGGGTTAGCTACATGGACATCACATTCAAGAATTGTCAATATATTGTGGGAACTAAAAGAACTTCAGGCTCATTAGACCTTGAACGTTTTATTTAAAATTACACTTAGCAAAAAAGCATAAGGAACTTCGTCAGGTAAAAATAGCTCTATCTAATCTTAAACGGAATCCAACTATCTTAAATGATCAAAACTCATTATTTAATTTGCTGGCTAAAATTATTCTTTGTAGCTTTGATGACATTTTAAGGTGTTAGATATGCAAGAAAATAGTAGTGAAAATTTAAATAAATGGAACTGGTTTTTAACGCACGTATCTGATTTTGTTAATGATTTGAACTCATCAAGTAAATTGGCGACTTTTTTAACCCACGTGTCTACTCTTTCTTGGTTTTTGGCGTGAACGTTTCACTGGATAATTATACAAGAAAGTCTTTCCTAAGTGATGTCCGATTTATTATATAGGGAAGACCCAGAGTTTGAGATCGTGAAAAACCCAAAGGAGGTATTTGTCTTTTTGATAAATTGAAAATCAGCACAATACTGTTGTCACTTCGATCAAGCATGCTCGGACAGATAGCCAAAATACATTAAATCCTGTGTGGATTGATGAAGATGAAGCTGGGAAGATCAAAGTCGAAAACACTCTGAGGTATTTGAATTTTTATATTTTTAATCATCTCAGTCAGCCCACCATCCTTGATATTAAGGCACGCCTTAATCGCAAAAGAAAACTGGGTTTGTCTGGTTCTCCGGAGCTTGGAAATTGTGACGTTGAGAAATTGTACGAAGTTCTTCGTGTTGATGACGACTGTTTTACCGGATCTGAGATTCGCATGCGTAGATTACACGATGCGAATAGAGAAAGGCTTTCTTGCGGTTCGCTTACGTCAGTGGAATTTAGCCATTCGTATCATATTTTTATGACGACGTGCGTTGATACAACCATGGCGCTATTTAACGTAATGCTGTTATTCTAGTTTCCCTGATCTTGGTGTTTGTGATTTTGCAACTGTTGCCCTCTCTTATAGTTTGGGAAATCTGATTGCCCTTTACTAGTTGACTGCGTGTTTGAAAAATTTCCGGTCAGTTCAGCCAAGTTTTTTTCTGCCGGTGAAAAGATCATCCTCACGGGAAAGAAGTCTTACTTTAAAGTATGCTTCCTTCATTCGGTTATTGTAAAGTCCCTCTATCTTTTTATTTTTAATTTGCAAGTAATACGGTCCTAGTTTTCCTTTGTTGAAGTCTTATCCATTGTCTTTTTTAACAAGCAGTTTGATTTCATTGTACCTTGAGATACTTAGTTAAAATCGCAACTTGGGTATAGTTTATATTATTGTAAAAAGCAGGGACTGCTTTTAAAAGAATCTCACTCCAGTTAATTTACTTTTTATTTTGCTTATTTTAAAATGTTTAAAGGATTAAATTTACCTGTATTTATAATTTATTGTAGAATTATATTTTGTGGTTTGCCATTGCCGGTCCAATTTGTAAACCTTCGAAAGCAGATTTCTGATTTAAGTAGTATGTGTTGTAATTTCTACGGTCCACGACTTCTGTGCAAATTTAAATTATTTGCATCAAAGGGAGTGTACGAAGTGGTCCGTAACGTGCGGTGCAATTTTTCATGAACTTGCTACTTAATCTAATTCTGACTGTATTACTAACCCTTACTAGTAAAACATATGCTATTAGGTCTTTGGTATACTCCCGCCAGCTTTATATTTTATGTTTAACCTGTCAGCCTTGAGTTGAATTCGTTAGGTTGTTTTTTTCTCTGCCACTCGTGTTTTTACATTTACTTCATTTTCAAATGAATTTCCATGCTTCAATGTGTGTGTCATTGAAACGAATGTTACTTGACAGTTTTCAGTAGACGGTTAAAAGTCTTTCCTTCGATGTGATTTTCTGGCTCTTGTAATGTGCAACCTCTCAAAAGTATAATGCTTACGGTAATTCTGAGTAGACGCATTAGTTTTATATTTAAGCAGCACATAATGAGGTTTTTCTATCACTTAACTTACAGAATAATCAAACAGTTCCGCAAGACGCTTTTAAGTATAAAAGATAAAAATATGGACAAAATATATTTGACAATGGCCTAGCAAATGCATTGATATTATGAGTATGAAAAAAGCTGTTTTTTTTACAAATAAAATAAGAAAACGAGTAAGAAACAGGAACCTAAACTGGCAAATCGAATATGGATATCAGGTAAAGTAATTAGGTAATTAGATGGGTGAAGTAGTGGTATTTTGTGTTCACAACTTAGGAAACCACAGTGATTGAAGTTGGACTACAAGAGCACATGCGACTTAAATTTGATTAACGACTAGATGGGACTTGCGTTGTAACAAATTTTACTGAACCGTTGATTACTAAAATACCGTCGCCCATCATTTTTTCAGATTTCCACTGCACCTTGTGTATATTATCGCCTATTTTTGATTGTGTACCAGAGGCTTATTATGGTTTTTAAATGTCTGTCTCTTTTTCTGACCCATCACTTAAGGTGTACGATATAAATAGTGGCAAGGAAACGCACCCAAACGTTCCACTAGGAATTCATTGCAAGGAACAGGTCAATAACGTTCAGGTATCTCCTAAGGACAATATCGCAGCACTTTCTGCTCCCAACAGAGTCTACCTTGTTGATCTGCGGGTAGGTAGGCATGCCAAATTAGTCTTCTTTCCGTGGCTTGCCTGTTTGAAGTATTCCTCCCCAAGAGATGTTTTGAATTCACGCTGTTTCACCCAACATGCTTGGCGCAATCTGTTCTCATTATCTGACTTGGGGCTTTCTTCTTGAGCATGTTTATCTGAATAAACGACCAAAAATGGAAGTCTTCCAGCTTAATGCACCTTTGGCTTTCTCTTAACGTGACAACCAATTGTGCTGTGGGAGTTGGTAGTGTTGGTTCAATACACATCTAGTATCAGGTTGCCAAAATTCAAGATCAGTGTCGGCCATGCTTTCGTGGAAATAGTTCAAGCTTTGGACACGAACTGGATAGATGTCAAGGTGATCCACTGAGGCATTGAATTGCCTTCTCTAGGCTAATTCAAGATGGATGGATGTGTCACTTAGCCTGAATGTTCTGGCTTTCGATGTTCATGCGAAAGCACCGCGATATGTTTGCCTTCAAACACCAGTAAAACAATAGATTCAACTTTCCTTTGTTCATTTACTATGTTGCATATATTATTGTGTCAAAAAACAATGCGTAATTTGTACAGCGCAATAATGGTGCTACACCGCTAAGCTTTCTTATTAAAGGTCACTTTATTCAATCCATCTGTTTATACGATACATTGCCTCCTGTAAGTCAGTTTTTAGCTATTCAGCGCCTAATATAGCATTGCGTAATGAAAAGTTTTGTTGGCATTCATATTTTTTTTGCACGGAATTAGGCTATCACCACATATCCGAAATTGAGAGTAATTGTAACGTTTCATTCTGCGCCGGAGAATGGCTTCCTGACGTGCTCTTAATGAGGCCTAGAAAAGCTTTTTGTCGCTTTTGAAGTCTGCGCAGCGGCCGCAGGGAAATCGTGTGAAGTCATCCACAGCCCACGGTCGGAGCGTAAATGCGTTTTCTATGGCGCTAATTGCAGCACCGCTGCTTAACCGTTCAATAACTCTTGGCGACGTAATCGCCTGTTCCCCCACATCATGGGGCTAAACGTTTTCGCGAATGGAAAGCAAATAAATAATTTAATCCGGGATTTTATGACTGATTTCGAACATTGCATTCTCTATTGCAAACTGCTTTAATGCAGTTTGCAAAGTTCTTTTAATTTACACTGATTTTCGTTAAGGGTTCTATCTTATTTGTTAAATACCATTCCAGGGGATTTTATTTATTTATTATTCAATGAACATTGATTTTTGCCTGTCATTCTTAAAATGCCTCTGTCTTGTACGTTATTGGCTTCTACTTTGCACTAAGGATAATTTGCCTATTCATGCCTTTCACTACGACCCCATCACTTAGCCGACTTTGTTCGCGGTTAGGTTTTATGTAATGCCGTCTTTGTTTTCTTTCCCTGTCACCGTTGTTTCGTTGGTAGGTCTGCATTAAATGATAAGGGATCTGATGTTTCGCGCCACAGGCTTTTAACTTTGCCTTTATTTCAGACCCTCGAGAAAATAGCCACTGCCCGTGTTAGCGGAAGTGTAACATCGCACTGTTTCTCCCACAAAGGCGAGCTTCTCAACACCTTTTCAGGTAAGTGCGTCTTTATTCACTTCCGGCCCTTTACCCATCCTCTGTCCCCGAGTCATATCAACTATTGGACACGTTTGGTTCGGCTTTTGTTGACAAGTTAGCTGCCATTGGTAAATGCTTCAACTAGTATTCTATTTGTGGATTTACATGTGTCAACTCATTGGGTGAACTGCGCGCCTTCAAGGGTACTTCAAAACATGAAGTGTTTTGTTGCTCGCTGCAACGCCCAGCACAAGGTTCTGCTCGGACTTTTATATTTGGGTCGTTCGTAATCCTCGTAAAGCAAACTGAGTTGAGAATTTAGGTTCAAGATTCCGTTTGCTGTTAAATTTTTCGTCAGGTTATCGTTCTACAAATTCATCCCAACTCCATTTGGAAGAGTTCGATCTAATTGCCCATGTTCTACATATATCGTCATGTTAATCTTGTAATTTTGTTTTTCCAACCGAACTCGGAAAGATTAGCATTGTGCAAGTAGCTAGTATTGATCGGAATAATCTGGATGGAACATACTAATAAGGCGCTTGTCATGTTCATACAAGGCTTCTATTTTATTAGGGCTTACATTCAAGGAGTTCATTTAATTAATATCTTGGACGCTTTTTCTGTATACAAAACTGATTTTTAGCTGTCAGCCTGCACAGGGGGTGGCCCAGATGTAACCGAACCGCAACTGCTGTTAAAAAAGTGTAAACCGCATGTCCTGAATTCACGATTCAAATCGGCATTCAAAGACCCAACTGGTAAACTTCCTGAATCCCAAAAATCTAAATTCAAACTATAACAAAAACAATAAATGTCGAGCGGAGGAGAATGTTTCTCATATTTAAGAAAAAGAGGAACAGTAGTTTCCTTGACCACCTTTTTGTAACTTTCTCGGAAATCTGATTTAATTTATGTAACCACAAACATTAACCGTTTTCTCGTAAGTGCTTGAAATTGTACGCTTAGAAACCAGAAGGGAACATCTAATGTTGTTTATATTTGTTGGATCTAATGAGGTTTTCAGTAACATTAAACTTTAATTTCCCAGGCTCCCGCGGATTCTGAACATGCGTGGTGTCATCTGGGCTGTCATTTGTATATGTGAGAACGACGTGTCAGAACTGAAATGGGGCTTACACAAGAACTAGTACCACGTTATTAATACATTATTTGTCGTGGTTTTTAAACTTTTGAACAGTGACCTTTCTAGTTTATGTTTCTAATATCAAATTCCAATTTAATCAACTTAGCAAGTAGATTGTAATTTTAGTTTGCTTCTACGTAGCCGACAAGGTTTTTGTAATATGTATCCTTCCATACCACGGACATCCAGGTAAAACGCGAAAGCAATTTCTTCACTTAGCATTCTTTCACTAAGCTTTTTAGTTGGAATTTGAATTTTAGTCGTACATATTTCACAAATAGCTTTTTATGAATTAATTCAAATCACTAAATTCCCACCTATGTTTAATTGCCAAATTATGGTTTCCACATAATTCCACACAATGCTACAAAAGTTTAAAGCGATGTCACCTCTGCACGCTCGTCTCTTTTCTTTTCGTGATGTGGGTAAGTGTAGATTAACTTTGGCATCAATTTAGTAATTGTTTCGTCTGAGATCTGGCCAACTTTTCAGCATTTATTTATTGGTTCAGCCATTTGCCCTCCGGCAATAGTAACTATTAAGTTAAAGGCGTTTTGTATACAAGTTTTTGCGTTGACATGTTGCCTTGCACTAAATCCTTTCTCATAGACTATTTTGTAGCATCGCATGAAATATTCCCTGTTATTGTTTTTAAACAAATCCTAGAGAATGTTCTCGCTAGGCTCCTACTGTTAATTAGTGTTTGTTGAAGTCAATGTGAATAAGATGTGTTGCAACAGTTAACAGTACTTATGTGTGATCCGGATGTGACTGTTCATTGCCGATAGAGGCGAAGTGTGCGAAAGGTTTGAGTTTATTTGCGTGATAGATGTTCAATCTTCAATACTTCATGTTAATCATCTCAGCAAACCGATATATTCGCAGCCGGCCGAGGGTTCCATGCTTGAAAATCATGCCCCATTAGCAAAAACTGGTATTTTATAAACCTTTTTGTTAGCTATGACGGTCTTAGGTTATTGGCCCAAATTCTCTTCCTTTGTAAATCATTACCACACAATGCTGCGATTGTGTTCCAATCAACATCTAAAATGAGACCTTAGTCCACGTAAAGAGTAAACTCTTGTTCACTTTAATTGTTGCCTCTGTCATTAAGTTTTCCATGCTCGTAAGGCTTCGAGCAGATAATATTAACTGTATCTGGCGTATCGCAGTTTCATTTTCATTTTGACTTTAGTTGCAGTGCTCTTTATTACAAATGCGTTTGCTGATATGATTATCGTCGGTGTCTCTTCCCACCAAATCACTTTTTATGGCCTTTTTTAATTTACCAACCTTTTTCGACCTCACTTCCTCCTGCTCCATTTGTTTCAATTTGCCGGGTGGAATGCAAATGAGGTCTTGCGTTATAGAAGAAAGTAGTTTCTACGGCCGCAATTTTTACAAAACAAGTTTACTTGCATCCACACACCTTCCTGAAAATGTCCTCCGGGTGGTTTAGTCTGCTGGTGATTTTTGTAATTCTTTTTGAAGGAATTCGTGTCTCGTGGCGGAGCCTAAGCTTAGATTTTATCCCTTGGAGAGCTGTTTTTTGTGTATGAACGGTCTCCTGCTTGCTGACCATCCCAAAAGGAATAACTTCTCTTTAAGTGGTTGCACCTTTTAAAAGTATCTTTAAGCACGCTAACGCAAACACCTCGGCAGCCTTAGACTTCAAAGGCACCTATGATTTGATTTATAATTAGCCTTTATTGCTCAATCTATTCTTCTATTTCAATTAGTTACTGCGAATGTCTGCTGTCGCGTTGTTTTAGAAAGTCGACGGTTAAAAAGATTTCTTTGGTGTCAAGCCGTATTGTGTACGCAATTTCCTAAGTTTTTGCTGGAGCGTTCTCTTAACAGTAAAAATCGTTTTTTTCATAAGTTCCCACTACAGTGTTACCAATTATTTTTTACACACATATGTCGGGTGTTGAACACTTTAAATTAATACTCGTTTTCAGTGCTTAGTGGCTTTCGACACCTGGGAGATGTTATTGTGAATCGTCGACAATTCGTTAGCACTTGCAACTTAATGTATATGTTGTATATATTCGTAAATACTTACCAAAAATGCCAATTTACTAAGCATGTCATGTTCGAGTGATTATCATGGCGGTTGTTTTTCAATTTGTTGAACAGCCGACGGTTCTGTCTTTGTGTTCGATCTTCGCCACAACGCTCGCCCCATGTATCGGTGGACTGATTACAGCTGTGCGGGAGGCAGCAGTTTCGCCATTTCAGACGACTCCAAGTATATTGCATGCGGGTAATTTATGACTTGCTAACATATATATGACATTGCGAATGTCCTCCTTTCTAGTGGCTTAAACACTCCATTGTTGTGCACGCACTGTTAAACTGATGTCTGGATGTTTTGTTGTGTCAGTGGATGTCTACTGATATCCATCCCTTAAGTTTCGTAGTGGATGATCTCAGTGATATTCAAGCATACAATATACCTACTATTGATTCTAACAGTTATCCACGAGTGTCCAGTGCTTTGGGTTCATTTGGCAACCAGTCAAGGGGAGGCGTGTGAGCAGGGCACTTGAAATGGACAGCTAACCCCCACTGTGTTGGTCGTGCAGAATTCATTTACCTCATAACTTACTGTGAAGTATCAACATTGTATGGAGTGGCTGCTTGTTCTTGGCAGAATAATGTACACACTTATAAATCAGTCCCTCAGTTATAAGAGATGATAAATGTACAAAGGACTAATACTTTTACAAGACATTACTGACCTCACACAGTAGGTCAGCTTAATTCGCCTCTGATATCTTCTTGTGGTTTGGAGATTGCTGTATTTTGTATAATTGATTGTTGTGTCAATAAATTAAAATATCTGCATGTGTGTTGAGGTTTATTGAGTAGCAGTTGCAATGGAGTTTGAAATTGACGTAGTATGCTCACAAGGTAGAAGTCAACATCGACTGTTTGGTATTCAACTTTAAACCAATATTCGCAACAGATTTGTGAACTTGCCTCGTTAGGGCCAAATAAGTTGCTATGGCCCTGTTAAACACCCAAAATAAAATACCTGTCGAAAAATGTTCGGCCTCTTATCATCTGTGGTTACTAATTTTCACGTTGGGAAGTGTCAAGTAGCTCGTGCATGTAACCGGGTGCAGTGTCACTGAGGACTAATAGCGTTAACTGCGAGCACGAATGAATGCGCATACCGACAGGCTTGAAAGACTTCGTGCAGCTGATGTTTGGTTCACGAATCTGCCAGTCGTCTGCATAAGTATGCGTCATCGACCCAACCTCAACTTCGTTTTCCTCGAGTCTTTGATAGGTTTGTATTCTCATGGACAATTCTTAACTAATTTTTTGTTTCATGAAAATGTAGTTTCTTCTTTGCTAGGAATATTTTTGGCACATTAGCCAATTTTGCATTGTATTCCTACTAACATGGCATAGGTTTATAATGGTCTTTCTAATTCGTAAATACCGTTTATCTCGAACCTCTATCAGTCGTAAGAGAACAAACGGGCTTTGGATAGTATTTTTTCCCATATCTATTTGGTAAAGAATCTGCGCTCAATATGGTGGCATCTGCAGATGCAAAAATAAATCTGTTTACACTTATTGGCGTACTTTTCACTGCGCATTTATCTGCTTAGTCACGGCAACCATTCATGCAGTGAAACAGTACCTCAAGGTTTCATGCGCACATCGTGAAAATGATTGTTTAGACAACCACAACGTTTGTTAAAAAAGCAGAACCGCATTACTCGGTGGTCAGATAGTTGCTCTATCATCTGAAGTTGGGCCTAAATCCTACCACTTTCGAAATTCTGTGGTAGTGAATACGCGTATTTTCACACGACTACTCAGACGTCATCGCACGTTGTGCCTTTTCCAGGTCGGAAACGGGTTACGTGAACATCTATATGTGGGCCGCAGTGATGAACGAGGGCACTAGGACGCCGAAGCCTCTGAAGTCCGTGGGAAATTTGGCCACTGGGGTCGACCAGCTGCTCTTTCACCCCTCCGGACAGGTACTTTACATGGCGTCGTCCCTGGAGCCAGCAGCGGCCAGGCTGGTGAGTCCCTTTTTCTTCGTTTTCCCCTCTTTAACTTGTCTCCAGATTAATTTTATCGGATTTTGCTGCACTAAAATGTATGGGGGATTTTTATAAAGGCGAGTTAGCTCTTAAAATCGATGTAGGTGGCCATTTCCAGCAGCTGTTTACATAACTTGCACTATAGTCTCGGTAAAATGGTTAAATGTATAGTGGACGAAATCGGTTGTTATTCATTCGGTTGGAATTTGTGAACACGAATGTGGTAAACAACGCCGAATGGTTGCCTGGATTCCAATATGTTTTCTTCCTGTTAGCATTCTAGTCACGACTTGTGACAAAACGTTTGCCGCGTGCTTAAAATCTACGCTTACTCCGATGTTTTTTCAAACACCAGAAAGTAAATTTCAATCGTTAGTTTAGGTGTTGTAGACACATTGCCATTTTTTACAAGGGCAGTTATTCCGTATGTGTGTGTGTGTGTTACGGCGTTATAGAAAATTACATAGAGAACATTTGTGTGCTGCCGCCTAACTCGACGTATGGCCCTCTGTGTCGTTGGGCAAAACCCAACAGTACTTAATCTCGCAAATGTGAATCGGTAGCAGAGGGCTTCACTGTACGAATACCGGATTGTTGTGCTGGACCACCCCTGTAGGTGCGTTCTCACGTTAAGTACTGTTGATATCCTGGTTTATCGTGTGAACCAAGTTTACCCGTGGCAGAGAATGCAGTGTTTGTATGCACAAGTGCTATAACCTTTTCGGAACCTTTTTCGGCAAATTTGTCCTTTTCACGACCTGAATGCTTGTGCCTCATGTATGCATCTATTGCTGCACGTCAACATGACTGTCTGAGGGGATGTAAATTTCTAAGTTGAGGAATTGATTGCAAAAAAGGCTCGCTTTTGATTCAAGGTTGTATGTAGCATATATTGACGCATTTTAGGAAAATTCGGTAATGGTATGACCCTTATCTTGAAGTTGTTCCCGTGGATCTTAATGATCTGGGCAAATGTGTTGCTTTCTTCTAGTTTGACCTTGACTCCCAGCGTGTATACTCAAATTTCCCAGCCTGCATGGGTGAGCTCGGAGTTCCCACCTCTGTTGGTTTCAGTCTGAACGGTGGTTATCTCGCCGTCGGGCAGGAGAGTGGCAGGGCGGCGCTTTATCAATTTGACTGGAAAAAGGCCAAGTATTAACACCACGTGTCCCCTCCTTCTCTTGTGCACGTCCCATTTGCGCGCTCACACACACACAATTGTATGTATATATTAAATTATTGTACATTTTCGGCTAAGGCCGATGCAATAGCATGTGGGTTGTAACTCCTCCATTCCTCATTCGCCATACCCACGGAGGGGCATGAGGGTTTGTCGATCTCAAACTTGCGCACCCCGGTGCTGCTTTTCACTTGATGCTTGGGAGCGTGCCGGTAGATATGCATGAGTAAAAGCGTCTAAAAACTATATATCTATATATATCAAACTACTGGTAGTGATTGGCTAAAATTGTTTAATTTGTATTTCATTGTTATTATTTTATTCAACGCTGGAGTGTCTATTTAACTCTGATAATACCCTGCTTTTTGAACACTCAGGCCTATAATTCAAACATGGTGAGAAATTTGAATTTAAGGTTATTTGCACTAATGCCTACTTCAGAACTGACACGCGCTCCTCTAAATTCGCCGATAGGTATCTCACCGAAAGAGTCTAAGGCCTGGCTGTCAGTCATCCAATTTTCCAGGTTAATAATCGATTCGCCATTCAGAGTCGCGCGTTTTGTTAAAGGGCAATGACTTCGAAATATTTAAATATCTTTTGAGTACCAAGAAGCACTAGTTCGAGTGTGCGTTTTTGACTCACCTTGAATGCATCGTCTTGGGAACGAAAGGGACCTAGCTTCGTAGTGCAGGTGGCTCTGTCGCCCTGCAGGTATAAGTCTACCTTGGATGAATTCGCCCTTCATTTATCGTCCAAAACTTTCCGAAGTCACGGTAGAATCGTTTTAGTAGGCGTAGAAATTAAAACTAGACGAAATCGCTATGTGAAATGCGCTCTGTAAAAATAATCCTTATTAATTCATCGGCGGGCGGGCATAGTCGACGAGCACCCTTGTATATCTTGGTGACCATAATAGGGAATACTGGACTCCACTTGTGAATGTATAGGTATTTTAGAAGTAACTGCAGTGTTTCGTTCCTGCAAAATGAATGACGAAATCCACGAAAATTAGGATTGCGTCCTTAGAGTATGTTCTTTAGAATTCGATGGCAAGCACCCAAGAACGAAACCTTCATTGAACAGGCAACTGAACCCTAAAGGTGTTACAGTACTTGTCGTAATAAGGGAAATGATTAACTCTATAGTTGTTTATAGACTAGTAATTGTTCTGCTTAGTTTCGTAAATACAAAATTCACACGTGTAAAACTGCTGACTTGTTCGCGTGCCTCATCGGATATACTTGCAGCTATCGTCAAAGGACCTATGTGTCATTTATTCTAATTGCTTTATTTTGGCATCTTTGTAGGAACACGCTCAAATGTCAACATTTAAAAATAGTGGTCTTTAATAGGTATTCGAATTTTTTATCGTTGTACGTAGAACAGGCAGCGAATGTACATAAGATTGTGCAAGGTAGGTGAACCCTATATCATTCTGCAACTCCTTTAAATGGGGTAAATATGTGTTGAATTGGCCCGATTACGTTACTGAAATAGGTCAATTTATTTATGTTGTGTGAGAGCGTGCATGCTTAATGTAGTTATTGACCAATAGTGAGGGTGAACCAGTCAGCATGCACATAAAATGAATGGAGAGAAGACAACGGGGTGGTGCGTGAAAGTAGATGGTCCAAACATGGCTGAAATGGGAGGGTTAAGTGTGTCGTAGACTGCAGCAGCCGCATTAACGGACGTGAATCAATGCTATTCGCTAAAGGTTTGTCATGCCGATTAATAAAGCATTGGATGGTCACAGACATTGTATCTGATTTATTTCATTAGAATGTTGGGGACAAAATTGTTATTCCCTTGCAATAACCAGAAAAACCTCAATTTTCTTAATTGAAAATGGCGAATTTACAGGTCTTCAGGTGAATTTCCACTTAGCGTACCATGACAGGTGCAGTAAAAGTTATCTTACTCGTTTGCTACTGACTCAGCACCACAATCCAATGTATATCAAACGTTTATAAATATGAAACATTGGTTCATAGGTTTGTTTTGCCAATATGTCATGATTTTAGGCATCTGTAATCTCCGACAAACACGCAAAGCGCAGGTTTCATTCCTGCCATGCCATGCATGCCATTATGACAACTCGAATCACGATGGACTCAATACAATTGAAGCTTTACAATGCTCAGTTTGTTGGGGTTACTTCCAAAATGGATCCCGGTGATAAGATTTTTTGGAGTAGCAAGAGGGCTGAGTAGCGACTGATCTAAGAACCCTGCTGTCCGCTTCTTCACTCACGAAGTTTTCCTCCACAATGTGTTCTTCCGGACATACTAAATGCTGGTAAATTACTCAAAAATCCACACAGGATTTGCCACCTGCTGTTTCGAAAGGTGATCCTCAACCTCATCACTATGTCGGAAGTATTTTAGCTGGCCATAGCGTCGAGGTCGAAAAAACTAATTTAACATTTCAGTGGATGCGGATCAGTTTTCTGAGCTCATTGCTTTCATTATTAGGATATAATCATGTTTTAACAAATTTAGGCTTACAACACCAATTAGTACAGCTATGGCGTGCATGACAAATTATTCAAAATCTCATGTCTTGATGCTTTAAAAGAGGTCGGATGGAAACCAGGGGCCCGCTGGGTCTTCAGAGCATCAAAATTAGTGTAGGAATCGTTAGTTAAGCCAGGTAGTCCGGGTTGAGTCAGAAGCAAACTTTGTGTTCTTGCATTACCAATAACGTTTTAACGTTCTCTATCATAGGTTGAGGCCTTTTAGAGTAACTAGCTGCATCTATGGTTAATTTTAACATCCACTCAGCGGGTTTTATAAAACGCGATCTCGCACAAGTTTTGATCACTCATTACAAATAGTCTTCGTTAATTCCTCAGGTAAGCGACTAGCATTTCTAGAGCTGTAAATAAATATGGATTAAGCAAAGTAACAAGGTTCCTTGAATCACTTGTTGACCATGGAATGCTGGTTGATTATGTGGTGCGGTGTTTCTATTCCCGTTAATGTAGAGGAAATGGCGTGAATTTCAAACTCGAATAGACAAACTCAGCTACCTGACGGTATGTAATTGGAGCCGAAAATGAAATAGAAGATTCTGGAAGGTGTTGGTGCCAGACAACTTTTTAGAGAGGTAGAAATTTAAAAGATTTGACAATCTCCTCAATTTTTTAGTCCGGAATTTTCGCCCAGCCCGAGTTAACAAGTGTCTGTCAACTGTTTCGAAATATATAACCTTAATTTCTGCCGTTGAGGTATAACTTTTTAAGTTATAATTTTGTGATATAAAACTGGAAAGTCTAGTAAATTTATATGAAAAGCAACGCGCTGCGAATTTATCGTCATTCCTTTCATGTCTTATTTAATTTTTCACAAACATGATTACGCACATGTCCTATTTAGGGAAAAACAGTTCAATGAAAATCATGGTGGCGTTAAGTTTTATTGAATTAAAAAGCAATCGTTTTAAATAGTGCTCTATGTAATTATCCTCAGAGCATGCTGACAAACAACTAGACGTTATTTTTGACAACAAAATATATGGCACTATGTTGTATTTTCGTTGAAGCCAATTGCTGCTGTCAATCATTGCATATCAACCCCTGCAGTCCTGCCTTTTCACAGGTTTTAGAGTCTCTGGGCTAAGTGTGACTTGATCATCTGTTACATCGTCACCATCGTTGTCATCATCATCATCATAGGGGTCAGCAGTATTCTTGGAGGTCAGTGGCTGTGATCAACAAAAGACGTGACAAGGGACTAAAGTATAGACCACGGCGCACAGTTTCATGAGGCTTGTTGATAAATGCATTAAGAGATTTTTTTCTAAATAGTAAACAGAGTCAACAATTTTTCCTCAAAATGAGAAACAAGGGTCTACGATCAGAGTCGTAAATAATATACCACGTCTGAATGACAGTGACAATATCACCCTCTAGTGCACCACACGCTTAACTTTGATTAAGCGCAGGAAAATCGAATCAGATGTTGACGCTTTATGCACAGTGAAGGAATTAAAATATGGGAGATGAGGGCTTGAATAAGGTTTTCCATCTGCCTAGATTAGCAGAAGTTAGACTCTCGAAAAGGTTCGTATATAAATAGAGACCATTGATTATATCAAGTGACACGGGTTTTGCAGCGTGCTGAAATGAAAGTCTTGTTTAAACCATCCAAACACATGAAGTCTTCCCTCGGCGAATTCTGGATATGAACCCAGGTACGTTAATATTGCAGAAAGATCGTTGGCTTTAATTTCCATATATTGCTGATTGGGTTTCAGGACAAATGAGAACTCGTGTTACTGAACGCGAATGGCTTACTCCTAGGGAAGCAAGTTAAGCGTACAAGAAGAAGCAAAGTTATAACCTCCACGATAACAATTACAAGCATTATAGAACGGCATTTTAACTCGCTGCATTTGGAGATTCTCGTACTGTTTGCTATTCACATCATCAATTCCTCTTCAGCTTTTATGCTTGGCTTTTAAGCCTGCTTTATTTTGCCGGAATGCATTAAGCTTGTCAAGTTTTGCTGAACGAAAAGAAAATATTTGAGTCTCTGAGGCCTAAAGAAACATCTGAGAACAAGAGTATGTGAAGACTACAGTCACTTTACAATACAAGCCATATTCAATCAAATTTAGGAGTTTGTGGTCATGATTCTAAGTAATCGGGCCTAGAATCTAAAATAATAATACTATTCCCACGAAAAAGCAACCTGCACGAAGTAAACGTTCAGTCTCCAAAATGAGATTGGCAGACCCTTCTTTTCTTTTACTAAGCAAGTGATTAAGACCTATAAGATGGGTATCGAGAGGCCAAATGATGTGCATGACTATTGCAGTGTTTTTCAGGGTTGATGTTAATGTTCATTCCCCTCTTCCAAGCAGTGCACTTAAGGTTTTTTTATGCAATGGACGAACATCTTTAACCAATGCCTTTTCAAATAGATAATAATACTGTTTCCTAAGATTGATATTTTAAAAACTTCTTTCCATTAATTTTACTTGTACTTTGCCCTGCTAACCCTGAAGCTTGAATGGCTTACTGAAAGAACTTTAATTTATAAGGCAGAATATTATCATTCTTAACAATAATTTCCAGTTCTTTGAAGGTGATTAGGCTTCTTTTAAAATAAAAATTGTTTAATATACTTTTCAAAGACTGTAGCTGACTTCAGAGCTTGAATTTGTTTCAAATACAACACAAAATTACGACTAAGCAACTCCATTAAGAAGAGGAGGCACTTTTAGGAGTTACGCCGAACCGAGTGACTCATCAGCAAAAGTGATTTGAAAGCAGGAAATGATATCATCTGGAATGTGTAACTAAGTATAGACTGCTTCTACACATTTTCAATTTACAAGATATGTTCCTAAAATCACTCCACCTAAGGACTCTAATATTAGTTCTGTCATAGATTAGAGAAATCGCTTCATAGCTAATCCTACTATTTGACCAAATATATGGGGCATAAATAGCTTTCGAGCAGATATGAACAACATCAGTAATTGAAGTTATGGGGACCAGTATAGACTGAGAGTCAATAAATGCTTTATGAAAATGGTTGCTTTCGTTTCAACTAAGATGATAATGCATGATTTCTGTAAACGATGCTATAATTTTATAGCATCATTATAAACTAGTTTTTTGGAAAGCACATTGGAAAAAGAAAAATTCCGATTTAAACCAACACGACCAACAGGCGACTCTCACAAGTGGCGAGGAACGATCTGACACACGGTTGTTGCACCGTAACATCCATGAGAGCTACGGGAGATGCACTCTGGTCATTCTTCACGCATGAACATGAGTCAGTCCGAATTTAGTTTTGCCTTTATACGACTGACTGTCTTTGTGTTTGCCAAATGGGGAGTGTGAATTTGAAGGCACATTGCTGCGCAGGAAACTGCTCTATGTTACAACGAGTCCCATATTTTGCAAAGATCCCAAATATTAATACGGTGGTTCATGGTTGACCAAAAGGTTAATTAGAAAATGGTAAATCCAAAAGTGAGGGCATTAATTTTGAAAATCAACGTAACAAATCCGCTACTCATTTTGCCAAAGCACAGTGAGAAAAATCTGCATTAATCAACAGCTCGTTAGGTCGGTGATGAGGCTTTTAGGCTTTCTACTGATTGTCTTGTGGTATTATTCAAACATAGACTGATCTAATTTTGTAATATGTTGCACTTGTATAGTTGCGAGGAAAGTAAGCCTAAATATGTGTTCTTTTCAAACTATCGCTTTATCTTATGCTCGGTTGTTTTTTAGACAATTTACTATTACTATGGGTCATAATTCAAAAGTTTTTGGTGAACTTTTAAATTAACATATTTTAGATTCCTTTTAATCAACACTAAGAAATCTGTTAATTTAGGCCAGATATTCCATAAATCAGCTTATTTGTTATAATTGAAGAAATAAAGTGGCATAATTGTACCGCGAGTAAAGCAGTAGAAGCCATTTTTACTTTGAACTTGCACTGAATGAGTTGGCATCTTGACACACGCTTTTACAAGAGCAACTCAGGTATTTTCACAAAGTTTGATTTTATGCGACATTATATCTTTGGTCGCACCATCACCTCCTCGCAGTATTCTCAGACATCTCATTTTATTGTGATTGGCTCTTCCTCTACATGCGGTGTTCTCAATGTGCGCAGCCAATCTCCCGCCCGTATGGCTCGGTTAGTTTCCGTTGTGTAACTTAGTTCTCCTTCCTTCCGGCCTACGCAAAAACTCCTTGATTGATGAACACCGAGTAGACCTTCTCAGCTGACTTAAAATGTCAAGCTCGAGAAAACCCTGGCTCCTTTCACGGGTCTATGAGACCATTGAAGGCGCCGGCTTGATTTTCGGCCTAGTTCCCTCTTCTGTCGTCTCCTTGAGAAAGCCACCTACCACAGTTCTTGAAAAAGAAGCCTATTCAGCAAAGCTCAGCAAACGTAGACGTCAGCTTAAGGAGCTCAGAGCGGGATTTAAGCGCTTTCTTGCGTTTTTATTTTCACAAATCGGTCTCTCAATCCTAGTTATTGGCTACACTGTAATTGGTGGTATGATTTTCCGTTCAGTTGAATTAGAGAATGAGAAGGTAGTAAAGATGAAAGGAAAGGAATTGCGAAATTCATTGGCAGATCAATTTTCAGGGGAGATTATCCGCGAACTACGTTACCAAATATCATCGTTTGACACTCGACAAGCAAATTATTATTTACCTGTGTCTATGAGGGACAATGGTCTTACATTGACCTCTAATTACCTAAAGAATGATGTGCAGAAAAAGAACCAACGACGTCGAAGCATCGGAAATTGTAAAGAAAGAGATTTTGTCAGACTAAGACAGTGGTTGCAGGTTACTGCTTATACCTTACGACAAAAGACGCGCCAGGAACTTCATAGCAGTCTCAGAAAACTAGTAAAAATGATGGATCATGAGGGATGGAATGGCGAAGATTCCATGGATGACTTGAAGTGGACTTGGGAAGGTTCAATCTTATTTGCAGTGACCGTTATAACAACCATAGGTGAGTCTTCATTTGACATTGGAATGTAAACATTCATTTTTATTAAATTTGTGTCCCTTTTTTGCTCATTGGAACAAACTGTGAGAAGGTTATCCTTAGAAAACAAATCCCCTATTTTCTTTGTCACAACTTTTAAAAATACATTGACCAACTGTAGGGCGATCTCTAATTGCAGAGCTTTTCGTTATATCGAGAAGCTTGGGCATTTGAAGCGTTTGCAAAGTGTCGAATCACTCAAGGCTCTAAAGTGACGGGGAGTGCGGATACTGCTCAATTTTAAATTAATGAAAAGCATATTTCCTTTAAACGTTGGGATTTTTTTACATAATCCTAAAGCTAAGAAACAACAGCAAGCCGAAGTACATAAACAATGCACACAAGAATTTAATGTTTCTGGAATATACTCTCTTCACTAATCTTAAGTTAAAATATGATTTACATGAAAAAATTAAATGCTAATACTTTTTAAAAACTGTGCGTTGTTCACTTCAGACACCTCTACCAGAGTACATGCATCTATCACTTTTGGTCTAATAAGTGCCCAAAGCCAAACCCCGGAGACCTAAAAGTTATTTGAGTTTATTTTGTAGGACAAGCAGAATTTGCAATAAGGAAGTCATGCTATAATGTGCTGCCATGCAACTCTTATGTTCTTGATAAGGCCGGCGCAAACACCTGTCCTTATAACTATTATTTCTAATGTTGTAACTTGTGGTGCAGTTTGGTCGTTTGAGCCAACTTGGACAACGGAATTCAGGTTAATACTTGAAGTTTGTTTGTCACGGTCTCCTTAACATAAATTTCTTGTTTTGGCAACGTAAGAAAGTACCAGAGTGGTTTAATAGCATTTGAAGTGCTTCCTCTCTACCAACTTTAAGTTAAAAGGTCTGGAACACATGCCTAATGAGAACACGCCTGTAGTCCACACAGCTAATCGGTTTTCAGTTTGACTAAATTACTATTTTTTATGTTTACGTATTTATACGTATCCTATTGAGAATTTTAATCTATCAGTTTGATTAAAATCAAATAATGGTTCAATTTAGTACATAAAACTGTCCTGGTAATACCGTTCTACCCTTAAGCCATATGGTTAAGTAATTACTAAAATATTCAAGTCACACTGTGCTATGTGCATGGATTTCGTAATGTTAGATCTATGTCTATCTGATGGGTCTAATTCTCCTAAGACTTAATCTGCTTTAGAGTCTGTGCAGCAAATGTAGCAGTGCGTGTTCCATTGTAGACTCGACGCTCAATTTCCTTTAAAAGCCTCCATAAACCTGACGCCGTATTAGATTCGAAAAGTTACTTTGGGTTAGAATATAGTCCAGTTCTTAAAACGTCTCGCCCTCACTCTGTTTAAACGAAAATGCAATGGTTTTTACAAGTACGCTATTTCATTTTTTGAAAAAAGGGATTCATGTTTGATAAAATATAGTTATTTTAAGAACGTTTCCTTGAATAACAATGCCTATATTATTTCTTATCACATGCTAAACACAGAAATACGTTTTGCAAAACAAACTTTTTTAGTTGCAGGTAAAAGTTTCGTAACGTGCGGTGTTTCAAAGCATTAAATAACCACGATACGCTTCATAAATATTTTATTTAATAAGGATTGTGGCACAGACTATGTTTGAATGCTTAACCAACTAATTACCTTTGTAGCTTTGGTATTGTTGCACACACCATTAGATACGTTTAAACTCAGCACAATATTCAAGAGAAAGGTGGCAAGACAAATGGTACGGGGCGATTCATGTGCCGCTGTGGTACTGTTGTGTTGTCACCCAAAATGGTCTCAAATTCATAATATCCCTGCTGGTGGTTTAAGAGAAAATCTAGTGTTGACATAAATTACTCAACATTTGAACTTTTGGTTATTTAGGAAGAAATGACATCATGATAATACTACATGACTTTACAGATTGGCAGGTCATTTCAATCCTCTGAAATAGGGTTGTTAAACAGAACCTGTACCAGTTTAAGTTTTAATATTTGTGAGTTTGCACAGGAAAATTTTACAATGATAATTGTTTTTAAAACCTAATTGCGATAATTTCTTCGAAAAATTAAACAAACTGCTTTTAAAATTTTTGATATTATGGGCTATTTGGTACCCGTTTTCCAAAGGAAACTTCGGGTAGCTCATATTCTACCAAAAAACATCATTTAATTAGACATTTTTAGTCAGTAATCTGCGTTTAATGTTTGTGGCAGCCCATTATTGAATGAAGTTACATTTCCCATTTTGTTGCTTTGGCACCAATATTGCGGGACACCACCTCTGATCAGCTGACAGCTCCAAAACTATTGGCATCTGGTAAATTTCTACTTGCTTGTAATTCCGTAGACCTTTCATTGAACTGTCCTCTATTTGTTGTTGAAAAGTTAACAGTGAAAAGGAATTATTCACCAACGTCTAGTTTGTGTTGAACGCCGTGTTCAGGCAAGAAACTTCATGAGTAACTTCTGTGGTTTCGTGATTTTAGCCGTATTAGGACGTAAACACTACTGTTTTCCACATGAATTGGCGATAAAATTGCTAACATTGAGCGAATTCTACTCAGACTCCCCTCGCGTGACTTTTGTTGGAGCTTCGTGAATATGTGCGTTTTTTGCAAAATAAAAAGTGCCCTTTAAAACCTCCATTCAGTGAAAGCGGACCGAGTTGTCTGATCGGCACTGCAATAACTCATTTCACAGTAGAGCATTTTGGCCTGAAGGGTTACAACTTCCACCCTTGGGAGAATGACTACCGCTGCATAACATTCTTCCTTAATTTTTTCCCCAAAATCAGCCAAAATATTTAAGAACTCAGCCGTAGATGAAGAAATTAAATTTTCTCCAGAAAAAGATTGCCAGGGTAAAAGATCTTCCATTTTATATATCACTTCACAGTCGCCCCGATTTACCTAAGGTAAATGTAAAAATAATGTGACCAAAATCTCAGGTTGCCAGAACAGTCTGATTTTACTTGTAACTGAACTGAAAATAAGTCGTAAACCTTCTCGTCAGTGGTATCCCTTCATTAAAAACCTTCGTTAGATTTTCAAGTGTGTAGCTCGATTTCCTTCGATATTTTTAATTTCAGGTGTGAAATGACAGTGGTATTTGAACAATGTGGTCAATCTAGAGCAAACAGTGCTTAAAGTGTTTATCGGAATAAAAGCTATAACCGCATAACTCAAAAAGATAATAATTATATTGAGCAATGGAGATCTAGTAGCGAATCTAGGAAGACAGCAATCAACACGCTCCCTGAGTGGACTTCAATAGGACGTGTCAAAATTTCGTGATGCAATGAATGGTAGTTTCACGGACATTGCATAACTCAGACTGCCTTTAATGGCGCTGGTTAACATTAGCACCCTAATCACCTTATTCACCATATTCTCACAAAATCCGATCTACGACGAAACGCTTTTATGTCTCGAAAATGAATAATATAGCCAGTTTGTTTTCTACATCACACTACACCACACTTACGTAGCTTTTATTGCATCACACAATTAATTTTAAATGACACGTAATTGCATTTGGGAAAGGGTAAAAGCATTTTAGAGGCTCCATTAATTCCTAACTTGCTAAAGAGGGAATTTTATTTCATTCCAATTTTCGATCATAGTCTTCACCGAAAAAATTGCACTTTCTACCTTACAAATCAAGATTACAATCCACCATAAATATAAAAAAATGTTTGTTACTCCAGTTTAACAATGAAAACGTGGTAGTCACTTCCATGTGGAGTTATGGTAATTATATTTTCGCCTATATTTTGCGATGTTTGGAGCTTTGTTGTGAATTCGCTAATTGAATTTTATCTTAGTTACCTCATGCACTCAGCTTATTGTAGCATTACGTAACCAATATCATGACACAATGTTCTTGTGACCAACAATTGAATGCTCTCAATTTGGTAATTGTGGCACACCTTGCACATTAATTTGCGTTTAGACAATGGGAGTCTTGTTACTTTAATAAACATTTTAAAGTCTCGAAGTGGTTTGAGGTACTGACGATATACAAAAGGACGCTGAATTGGTTTCTCTAAACGGTTAAGGTTCTCTGAAGTATATTTGTATAATTTATATGAATGTGTTATATCCGCTCTTAGGTCATTTTCAACTAAAGTTAAAAAATGCACCTTCAATATTCAATTTAAAATTTCTTGAGAGTTCAGAAAAAATATCCCAACACTTCGTTTTTACTATCCACCGGGTTAAAATACCCACAAAACTCCAAAACCTTTAAAACCACAGCAACTCTGTCAATGAATTACTACTTTAACCACTCAGAAGGCTCCTGAAAACTTACCATCAACTGAAATAAACAAACTTTTATGATCAAAACAACAAAACCAGCTTACGTTTTCCGCACCACAGTGTTTTTTATATAGATTAAATACGAAAGTGAGTCTGATTTATTTGTGTGCTTTTTTTTCAAAATGCCCACTTTTAGAAACTTTATTAAAGCTTACGATCTTTAAAAGGTTGATAATTCGTAACAGTCTGTAGACATTGAAAGAAAGTAAGTAAACTTGCCAAGCAATTTTCCCAGGGTTGCAAGTTTTTATCTAGTGAATCACATTCACGCATCAATCCTTTGCGAGAGGTAAGTGCCATAACCTCACGTCGCATGCAACCGATGCATTAAAATAGACTTTAGTTGAGCAGACCACTAAAATTAAAACAACAAATCTGTCACCAGATGTGACTATGGTCTCGTTTGAAATTGGTATTTTTTCATGCAAATCAGGTAAAAAATATTGTGTAAAATGCACCATTTAATTTAGGAGAAATTTTTTCAGTTAACCACGATTGCTTGTGGTTATTTCATTCCAGGCTAAATTTTGTTAAGCTGTTTACTTGTCCAGGGTGTTTATAATTTACTTTTAACACTTATTTTAGGTTATGGTCACGCGGTTCCCAAGACAAATGCTGGGAAAGTGCTCACGATATTGTATGCCCTCGTGGGCATCCCACTCGTCTTCCTCTACTTAACCAACATTGGAGATTACCTGGCTTCGCTTTTCCGTGCGCTATATGCTAAAGTGTGTCGTCGTTGTTGTGAGGGTAGTTGTGGCAATAGGATGGAAATCCATACACGAATGAACGTCTTCAATAATCAGACTTCCGCTGTCGACTTCACACAGCAGCGTGACTTTCCACAGGATGAATCAACACACAGAAACAACATCAGTGTTATTCGGCAAATTAGTTCCCTATCATTTAGGAAGGACATAGCAAATAGGAAGACCAAGAAAAAAAAAGTTTTAGAATGCGTTGACATCAACGTTTTTTGCAATGACCACGTTATCAATCTGGAAAACCATGCGGAGCCGGAATCTGAAAGTTCGGAAAAAATTGAGGTAATTCTCAAAACAGTTTGCTTTCGCTTTCTTGTTAACCCCTCTTTGTCGAAAGAGGACCTACTTTAGTAACTTTGAATACGCGCGAATCACCAAACATCGCTCAGTGGTGTGGAACTCGTGGATTATGCGCGACAGCAGAAGACTTTTGAATGTTCATACTTCATTGAATTTGACACTCGACCAGTCATTGTAGGGCTTGGCACTTATTAGGGGGATGCTCCAGTCACCTAAACATTTTCTTGCCTATTGACTCTCATTAATTTACATTAAGTTTCTTTGGTAAATCGTGTTTTCTTGTACCTAATGACAGACACGAATTAGCTCAAAAATAATAATTTTGCTACATTTCAGCCCCACCATGTGGCGTATCGTGGTTCCTGATAATCAGCGCAGACAATACTTAATGAAGGCTCACAGACTAAATAGTTGTCATAGGTACTTTACATTACCCCCCAAAAGCATAAATCATTCCTAGATATATTTGATATACCTTCATTGGTTAGACTCAAAAAAATTAAGCCCGAATGTCTAAAGAGGTGAAAATTCTGGCGAGCAATTTTATTAAACAACACTTAGAACCTGTTAACAGGGTTGACAAGAAAAATTAAAAAAGTCTCAACCACGTTTTGGGATTTAAGTAAGTTTCAAAAGTTTAAGTTCAGCATATTTATTATCAATAAATGTTAGGACTAAGGAGATCTATACTGACTTACAGAGGGATGACATTAATAAATCCCATGAGAGAACTTAATCGACAAACGGTAAATGCATTCAGACCATATTTCTGAATGAAAGTTAGTAAAACGGATTTAAGAGTTTTTAAAACCTTCGTAATGTTTATTAGTTAATTGGCAACTGATTTGATTGGCATAAAGCGTTTTGCCAAATGTGGTAAAGTTTGCTATCCAATTTTAAAAAAGTATGTCGTTTCATGAAATTTCTCAGATAAAATGCTACATTTTTAACAAAAAACAAATTAAATCAATTATACACAGCTCACATTAATAACTTTAAATTCCGTAGAAAAGACCCTTAATCATTTCCTAATACTGCCATTAGACAGACAATTTAATTAAGCACAAACTACTTTTGCTCTAACAAACTGCTAACAGACTTCCGACCGCATAACTTTAATCACAAAATTGACTTTCTTGTTTATCTCACAAAAGTTGTTACTATTCAACGAAGAATGGCTTTTAAAAATATTATTCGAAAAAGTTTTTGAATCTTAATCTTTATTTAACTCAGATATGCCTGATTTATAAATATTATTAAACACCCTTTTTGGTTATTATTAAATTTATTTGGTACCCTCTTCCGGCTCATAATTCATAATTTATAAAATGTTATTTAATTAAAGAATGTTAGGAGTCACGTTGGTGCTTCACATAGATTTGTCAAGATAATATCATAGAAATTTTTTTGCTGTGCACATCTTTGGAAAGTAATTCTTGTGAATAGTTTTGTAAAATAAATGCCGCAACATTGTCGCAAAATTCTAGTCAAGTAAAATGCATAATTTGTTATTAGTAGGGTAATTTAAAAAGATAAAGTAAACAAAATGTGCCAAAGAAAAATGGCAATTTTTAGCTCGTTAAATATATAAAGACTACGTCCTTAAGTCCTGAAAAACAAAGACTATCCCCATTAAGTCATTTAGGTAAGCCAACTCCCATTGTTAACATTTTCAACAAAACAAGTAGTGCAAGACAAGAGTTGTCTATTGACATCAACCTGCTCAGTAGAACGATTTTTGAGATTTGGGTTCATTTCTGGTCCCTACTATTTCGGCCTTCGACACTTTATAAGATTCTCGTTGTAAGGCAAGTACAGGTTATGGTATGTGTATAACGTGAGTAAATCTGTAGAGGCGATAAATGACATAAAGCACTCAAGGTGACAGCAGAAGTCCGGAGTCAATTAGCAGCCACCCTTGATTCAACCACAAGACCATGCAATTTTTAGCCCCTGACAATGTGTCAGCATACATATGAATGCCACACGGCATTGACAGTCGAACCAATTGACGAAACCCAGTGTATGAAAAGCTAAACAGAGGTCGAATAATCAAACTCAAGAACAGTTTGGCTGTGCCTTGTAAGTCACAGTCAAATTTTGCTAAGGCACACCTCACGTGAGCAGTCTGATCACCAGTAAACTAATAAACTAATTTCGAAGCTTATGAATTACTTTCACTATTTGATGGTTACACAGCCATTATTTCAACGCTGCTCAAACCTCTTAAAAAAATACCTATGTGAATATTAGGGTGACTTATCTCCATGTGATTCAATATGTTGATGTCAAACTATATTATCTGTTTACTTGTCTACAGTTGTTGTTTTCCGTTAAGTTTACTTAAAGAAAATATGGGTACTTTATTCTTTGGAAATCCATCTGGCATTTCAGACTTGTTCAAAATCACCAAACGAAAGTCACCGAGTTTGCCTAAAGGGCACTACAAGTCCATTGTTTTCGTGCTGGCTCAGTCATGCACCAGTAACGACTGAAACAGCCAAATGTGATCATCAGAAGCCTACGAATCCTTTGAACGCCTTACGTGCAGAATGTGAGGGCGAAAGAAGGCCATTACTGAAGGAGACGAGGCTTGATTCTACCTTTCACACTGTTGGCACCCAAACAGTTCTGCAGGCTGGTCCAAATGACGTTCTTACGTACAGACACTTGTACAAATCATTCATCACTGGCCGATATTTCAGGTCTTACAGGCGTGAACTTCTCCACAGACGCAAACAAACGCGACGAAAGTGGAAACTTCAATCACCCAGAAGTGTAAAAGGATTCAGAGAAAGTGGTGATAATTCTTGTGAAATGACCTGGACAAATCAGGATCAAGCAAAAATCATAAAGAATATGTACACGTCCCTTCAGGACCTTCAAGATTCAGTCAGCATTAGTAATTGGGCTGATTCTGGAGAACTCGGTACTTTAAGTGTAACTGATAATGGAAGTTATCGATCGAAGAACCGAAAAGATGGGAAAAGTTTAACGTCGTATCCCTCGTTGCCGATAAATTCAGAGCTTCAAAGATCAAGCTCTTCACTATTTTTTACAGAGACTGTAAAAGGAAACCAATGTAGAGCGAGTCCTCCAACTACGAAGTATCCAATGCTCAAATCTCGTCTTTCTATGCTCTCTTCCCTGGCCAATTCCTCGAGTGACCTCATGATTCGACTCAGTTACTACTCGGATGAAAAATTACAAGAACGTGACCCGATTTCCCGACAGCCAAGCTTTGACAACAATGATTTTGGTGGAGAGGACAGTTCTAACGTTACAGTACCTATCAGCCTTTCAATAATGATCATGACAACCTATATCCTTATCGGAGCTATCGTTTTCTGTATTTGGGAAGACCCAAACTACCTGAAGTGGTCGTATTTTTGCTTTGTGACGTTGTCAACGATCGGCTTTGGTGACATTGTCCCTGGTAAGTTTCAGCTAATTGTTTTCACTAAATGAAAATTCCCAGACTTTCTCAACATCGCCTCTGGTCTTGAACGTTGACCTTGGACAGCCACATAACGTATGCTCCAGTAGATAAATATTTTAAAACTTTGCTGACCTGCCACTGTACTACAAAAATGCATGACATACTTCTTAAAGCTAAACCACCTAGCATCATGAAGGTGAATTTGTTTAAACTGAATGTTAATATGTTCAGAAATGTGTGTACAATATAGTTGTTTTTGGGTGCATTCCTAAATTGCCAATTCAAGTTAGTCTAAATTTTTATAAATTTGATTTTGTCTAATAAAGAAAATTATGCTAAGACTTTGTGCCAGCCCGGGACCTAATTATGTGTAGCTGGCTGGTGTCAGAATGACTAAGTTCTCGGTTCGATTGCTATGATAACGCACTCTAGATCCTTTCATGGTTCTGTACAAGTTACCCATTTAAAACACATAAATTTTCGAAAACAAGCATGCTTTGAAACTACCAGAATGGAATTGCCAGCATTACGAGCAAATGGTTACTTTCACCCTTGCCAGCTTTGTCGTGCACAATTTCGTTCATACGCTATAGGCAGCTTAGGAACTTGGGCTGCGAAACTGCTTCTGAGGAGAAATTTAGCTCCGTGACTCCTTATAATTTAAATTTATCACTGAAGTATAAGTTCCCGAACCAAATACCTGTTTTAGATAGCCATTGTAAAAAAGGAGTCGAAATGTTATGTATCAAGTATGAGAAATCGCACTTTAGTTATTTTGATCAAAATTGAATCTTAAATACTTATATCACTTTCAGGTACCAAAATCGACTCTACAAATCCCCAAGAAAAACTTATTATAATCACCGTCTACGTAGCAGTCGGACTCTCTGTATTTGCAATGTGCTTCAAATTGATGCAAGAAGAGGTAGTTTCAAAGTGCAAATGGCTGGCCCGCTATATTGGAGTGCTCAAACGAAAGGTTCGCAAGCAGAGGATAGTGAGACCCCAGTCTCTTGAGGTCAGCTCTTTTAGAGACGACGGATTCAGCAATGGGGAGCTTACCTTTTCCTAGTTTTATGTGAAATCATATTTTTGATGTTGTAACCTTTTGCCTCTAACAGCCTTTTCTTTCTGCCACGGGTCCTGATTTCATGCAAAGCCTGCGCTCAAGCAACCGTAGCTCTCAGTGATTGCACTTTCTTAATGAAGCTGACCTTGAGGAAAATCCATGTACATTGCTTTACTATTTTATTCTGAAATGTGAAATGCATGGCAAGGACATAACATTTTACACCTTTCGTGTTAAAACACAAAATGCTTCTCATTTTGTTTTGCACACCTTAGAGGCTCGAAATAAGGGCTTTTGGGAAGCACAGACAACAATTATTTATTTGCATCTAGTCTGACGAAACCTATCCCAAGGATAAGTGTCCAATTCTTGTTATTTTAGCAATAGCCAACTCAAATTGCCTTTAAAAGAGAATAGATGAATAGACCACTTTACTAGACACAAAATAATCCTTTTTGGAGGCAGAAAAGTTTACCCAACAAATTTACTTTTCCTTTTTTCTTTGGGTTTGGATTAAAATTGGAGAGAGAGCAATTATAAATTTGTAGAGCAAATAATAATTTGTATACCGAGCCATGATTACGAATCCTTCTGACATAGAGTAGATGAATTATTTACTAATTAAAGTGTACAAAAACAGACTTATATTGAAAGTTGAGGGCAATGCAAATTTTCTGTTTTTTTAGGGTTTTTATTAATCATTGAGGGTTTTTCTATACACCTGACCATGAGAACTAAAAAATGCAGACATTGCTTCGGTTCACTTTTAATTCTTGATTCACACGGATTCTCAAAACATTATAGGACGTAGAAACTGACCAGAATCTAATTAAACACTGTTTTTTTAGTCAAACTTAAATAAAAAAGGTTTTGTCGTTAATCTACTTCATCCTTAGTGGTTGAAACACCTATTTAGTAGTACCACTAGGTAACTGCAATTGGTCAGATTTTATCGAGCTTAGTTGCATGGCAACAAAACGCGACTCTAAATTTCTAACTATTTCAGTTGCAATTACCAAGCTATAAAATTCCCCCACTTTGACTGAAGCACAGCCGATTAGGTCGGAATATAAACGATTTATCATCTGTACTGTAAAATTAATATTGTAAAACAAAGGTTCAAAATATTAACTTCACAATTAATTGAGAGAACAGTTTGGCATGGAAATTATTCACTTAAATGACCTAAGCTGCGATCAGAAACCACAAACTGACAGCCATATCTCTACTGAAAAATTTTACGTGACCTACCTATATCTGTCAGGTTCGATTATCTATTAATGAATGTTGATTGCCAATCCTTTCGTAACATTAACATGGGTAAACGGACTGATAAGTGTACTTTCTTATAACAACGGCATTAAAAAACGACGGATTTAAAACAATCGTTTTCCCTTCGTAGCTGCTAGACTTAAAGACAACCTGGGGCGTGTCGTAAACCTGATGTACTTTTTAATTACTTGCTTTTAAAGAGTAATTTGTAGATAAATGCAAAAATCATGACAATTTTTTTTAAAAAGTGAATTGGAGAATGCCTAATCTTATAGTTGTTATTGTGTAAATAAAGTACAAGCAGTGAAAAATCTAAAGATGAAATTCAAATTCAATGTTACTAGGTACGGAGAGGTCATTTAGGTAAAATGTGTGACGACGCTGCCTAGAAGGGCACAATTTTATCCTGCCTCACACGAATTAAAGACATTTTTTAATAAACCACATCAACAAAATCAAAGCATTAAGTCACCAACTTCTTGCTGCATTTTCCATGGCCCCAGATGTTTTACGAGAACGTGTGTGTTAAAAATAAATATTTCAGCAGGGTTAAACGAAGATCTTGCATAAATACCTGCTTTTTAACTAAAATGACGACTCGAATATTTTGACAAGATAAATATAACCCCAGTATGCTTCAAGCTTTTGTGTTAGAATAATACCTATTAAGGTGACTAATGATGGCGCACACAATAAACTTAAACATAGACTAGTTATGCAATGAAAGCAGACATTTATAATTAAATGGCTTAGCGGCTCCAGGCATTCTACTCAACAACTCGTTGTCTAGGTAAATATGCGTCATTTCTGGTTCTTTAAACTTATTAAGGTAGTAGTCGGATTTTAAGTACCTTGTATTTAAAAGAAGGCTTGATTAGCAATTTCCAATTTTTTGAATCATCTGGAACTAATTTAGATTATCAGGGATACAGTTAGGCTACAGTCGCAAGATAAATTAGTAATATAACTAAAATAAGGCCAATAAAGTTTCATAAAATCATGGCAAAATCATTCTGCTGCTAGATTTCGTAAAAATTCGTCTGCGACATTTTTGCCATGATTTAAATTGCCAAACACTTTAGAGCACCTAGCAAGTCTACAATAAAGATTCCGCCTCAATTAACAGCTATGCCTTTCTTCTGCCCCTTCCGCACGCTGCACTGCTGAAACTTGAAAACGTACAAAATATGAACATGAAATTTTGACATGCCAGCGGAACTCTGGTCTAGGAGAGGTAGGTGACAAAATTAAACTGCAATTTATGAATCCTCAAAAGATCAAAAGAGTCTGAGATCCATAGATTTATATTATGCAGATGACTACAGGACATTAATTGGTGAAACTGCTATAGGCAAAAATGTAGATGTTTAATTCTTCAGAGTTTGCTGAGACGTTAAGAATTGGCAGGTCTGCAAAGGTCAACAGAAAGAGGGAGGTTGCCAAGGCAGGGACAAGGTGAGTGGCGTGAGCGTCAGTGCCCTCAGTGCATGTGAGAGAATGGAGCATGTGAAAGTGTGGCAGCAAGCTCGACTGTGCAGTCCACCAGAATTTCTGAGCCATCATGTAGTACATTGCCTTACGGAGTTTCGTGAAAAGCCGACCCTCAGAGTTCGGTCCTTGGTAGGCGCAAATAAGGCCGGGAATGCCATAGCGGGAAACCAAATAAAACCCATCAGCATCAGTGACTGAGCAAACTTCCTGACTAAGCAGTGATGCTGACCTGACCCATTTAGAAAAGGAATTCACTAAGACCAGCGGATGTCGGTCCTCTCAACGTGATTATGAAAAAGGGCCTATAAGATCGGTTTCTAGAAGCTAATTGACGAAGCCCATAACAATACGTTGGAGTGAAGCGGCATAGAGGCGCTTAGTGTGTGTGTGTGTGTGTGTGAGCAAGATGCTCGTGGAACAGGAAGTACACACTTCTTAGATTGGGCCCTACATTTTGTAGAAGTTCATACTTTTGGCTCGAAACAACGATTTGTGAATTTCTAGGCAGTTGGGAAGTGAGCATTGAGTTGGAAATAGAGGACATCGTCATGAAGGAATAGGTTAAATCACTGCAATCAAATGACTTTGACAGCTCACCTCTTTGTCTACGAAAGAGTGCAAATAACGTCCCTATGATGAAGTTAAAGGAAGATTGTAGGTGGGTACTAGCCTGAATGCTGTCAATTTCCTCGGATGAGAGTATGGGGGAAATAAGTTTAGCGCAGTCTGTGTGATATCGTGGGAAGGTGGAGCTTAACGATGTTGTTCATTTGTCATACGTTTTCTTCAAAGTACAGGTTCGGAGTGAAACCAAGGGGAGCTTGGAGTGTTTAATAACGTTTAGGGTGGACGGGGTAAAATCACCGTCAGTTAAGACACCAGAGGCCATAGAAGAAGCGGCTACAGGATGTGGAGAAGTGAATCAATTTGATTCGGTGCAGTAGGTTGAGGGATTCTTAGAAGGGTGCTTAGATATGAGCAATTGGGTAGGTCTACAAAGATACACACAAAGGGAGTCTTACAAAGAGGATCGGACGGTGCGTAACATGCATGGTAAATGTTAAAACATGGAGAATCTAATATTTTATTTTCTTTTAGAATATATGGCAACCATGTGAAACAGTAATTGCTGTTTCTAATGGCAAAACGGGATAAACTGGAAGGTTTTATCTAGTTATTGTGGAGCGTTAAGGTGGACATAACCTCTTACAATTGGATCGTCAGTAGCCATTATACATTTACTTTTTAAAATCAATGAGCCAAACTATGTAAATCATTTGTTTAATAAAACTGGCGGCTTGTAGGGAAATCTAGATTGCTATATATGTCTTTTATCTCAGTGGCGCATTAATTTTTTCCTATTTTTTTATTTAATTTCAAATATTTGAACAGATTGCACGAAGATTGGCATGACAAATTACCACTTCTCTCTATTTAACGGTATTTGATTAAAGTTTAGATTATTTTTTTCTGAATTGCTTCATACATCCGTCGGTAGTTGCATGCCGTATTGCTACAGTGCAATAGTGTCATAAATCCCCGAGCTTTTTTTCATGCTCGTAAATGCTTCTTCAGAAGGGCAATTTTGAAAAAAACGTTATTCTCCTGACTGTCATTGTAACATTTATTTTTTTCGTTAATTTATGCTTACGTAGTTAAAATAATTCATTTGTTTATGCGTGAGCTAGTGAAATGGAGAATAATAGACTAACTTGGAAGGGCTTTGCAAAAACATTTGAAATTATATTAAATGGATGCGTTATTTCTGCACAGATCTTTAAGAAAAAAAGGAGTCATGGCCGAATTTGACTATTTTGAATGGCTTAGTGGCTAATTAGCATATATGTCGTCACATTGATGGTTTGGCTTAAGTGTAAAGAAGATTATGATAAGTGAACTTCAAATTAACCTGGGAATATCTTAGTAGCTAGAGACATAATAAAACTAAATAATTAATTTGCAGCATTTTGCATAATTTTTCCTTGTTTCGCTTTTTCTTAACAAGGTTATTACAGCCTTTATTGGCCATAAAAACATTTTGCGATTATTGAATGAGGTATTATCCGAGATTGAAAGGTGGCGCAATGTAAAACAGAAAAAAGTCATCTCAGACGAACAACAGGTAAATAAATGCAATTCTAAAGTGTTGTGTTAATTGAAAAGGACTAAGAGCACGCATTTTTACTCTCAAAAAGGAGATTGTGATGATGCAGTTAGCGTACGAAGTAGAAGTGTTGTTCTATTGGCAGACACAAAACACTCATTAAAAATAGAATACTAAAACGATTGTGACTCGACTATTTATTGCGTCAGTGAGAGGAGAAGTTATTTTATGTAATATGGCGTCAGCGTGAACAGAATTGACCAGCATTCAATTCACCAAAAATCAGTTACTAGAATTAAAGTGCAAATTAATTTTAATTTCGCCCATGCTGGGCACGAAAATTCTTATAACTTTCTTAAATTCAACTCAAGTATGCATGATAGTAGCAGTAAAAAATCATTGCTAAATTGTTACAAAAAAGCAAAAATAATCTAAAAAAATGCATGACTAAACCTTTGTAGCACTTAAGGTCAATGTGTCGAAATTGATTGCGGACACTAAGCACATTGATGAAACAATCGACTTAAAAAAGGAATTGCACTTCAAAAAACTACGAGAAATGCAGGAATGTGGCTGATCCAATGGGTCATTTTTACCATAAAACTATATACTAACCTACTGGCATGAGTAAAGTAAAGTTTTATTGTTTGGCTAGTCGAAAAAGTCTGACAATTTTCCGAGCTCAAGCGTAAACTAAAGGATAAATGTAAACCCACCTGACCATTCTTTATTGTCAAGCATTTTTTATTACAATTCAGCTTACTTAAGGTTGAATTTTCTTGTACCGCATAGAAACCAAAGCACTATTCCTATTTCCCACATCTGAGATTTCTCACAGCGAACCGAAAAGTAACGCATAAAACAACGCGCGAGATACGAAATAGTGTTTTTTTTGTTCCGCGAGGTTTGTTATTTTAATCGAATAAAAAACTTTTATTTCGGTTTCTTTATTTTTTGATATAGCGCTTTTAAATGGTACTGCTTTCGGTGGCATGTTCTGAATATTCCAGGTTGTTAGGATCTGTGTGGGTAACATTGTCTAAACGACCTTTTTATTATAACTCGTCTCGAATACCAAATTTGGTTTTTTTGTGCTAAATCGCCTTTATGCTGTAGCAGGGCGTTTGTTTTGCCCAAGATTTGAATCACTCAGGTTGAGGTAGTGAACCATGTCTTTACTGCACGGCCAGTATCAAGGTAAGCGCAATTTGAGGAATTTTAGCTATTTTTTGTCGGTACTGTGTGGTAAAAGTAACCGCTTACTGCCTCTATGATCCAATTCTACTCTTCATTTAGGGTAGTGTTTGATTTTGTAACAGCTTGTGCATCATAGATTACCGACCTGAATTAGCTTGCGCTATAGAGTTAACTTAAAGGATCTTGATACTTTTAGAATAAGATTTAACCCGGGTTTCGTTGGAACTCGCTTTAAAACTACTTCGGTATTTCCTTCAAATTAAGCGTTTAAATATACATTACTACGTAGAATTGCTGGGCCGGTTTCCCTATATTTTATTTCTTATTCCACTGCAAGATAATAGATTTAAATTAACTCACTTTTATTTAGGGTAGCATATTAACATGCATTTATTTCTCCACGCATATTTTAGAACATTCTGTTTAAAACTACTGTTCTGCGTCGCGTAATAAGTATATCAGCCCAAGGAATGACCAGCAAATTGCCGAACGAGGAATGGAAGAAGAGGCTGCCTCCAGATGTCTTCCAAATTACACGGGAAAAGGGCACCGAAAAGGTATGCTCCTCGCAGTACAAACCTTTTAGCCTTTCACCGGAAAATATGACAAACATTTCGAAAATGGACAGTATAGATGTGTTTGCTGTGATGCCCTCCTTTTCAAGTAAGTGGTCATCATTTCGTGGACTTTATGTATTTCATATCTGCTACTTAATGTTCCAACTTAGTATGTGACACATTTCTTAGGGATTACCACCTGCGTTATCGCGTTTAGCTACCTGAGCCTGCAATAAACTAAGTTTCATTACCTTTAGGTTACGTTCAGGTTGTTTTTATTGTAAGTAGTGCGAATTTTTTCCCACCATACTCTTGCCCCGTCCTATGCCATGAGCATGCACGACATAGGCAGTCTGTAGAGACTCGCCTATAGACAAACATTACATAGATTAACCTCTGGTTTAAATTGGGTAATGTGACATCCACATTTTTAATAAGGGTCAAGCTTAATAAATTCAACCCAAAACAATAAAAAAAATTCAAAAAACGTAATTTTATACCAACCTGTTATTTGATATAAGCATTATCAGTCCGAGTGGGAAGGCGTAAACATCTCCTCATATCGGTTCTCAGGTCTTGCGATAGTCAGTTTTCAGTTTAATTGAACATTATACTTATCTTAGTAAGCCAATTAGAGTCAGAACGCATAATTGTCTTGATGCTTTCTCGCACACTAGTTGTATAACAATTGTATGGAGTTATTAAGAATTAAATAGAACGTATATTTTAGCAGCACTGGAAAGTAAAATGACTTTAAAGGTATTAAAATGTTTATGTTTTTTGTTCCCAAAGCGCATTAGCTGGGTGGCTGTGATTTATCAATGGCGCAGTGTTTACTTCCTCCTCCTCTTCAAAACATCTGTTTTTATGATACGAATAGGTCACTGGATTTCACCAGTACTTAAACAAAACTGTGAGAATATAACAGAGACGTACTCGTGTCTGTAGGTAGACACGGCAATCGGTAATTTTTGACCCCCCGTTCGCGATGATTGAGTCGGCAGTGTTCACATTTGTAGTAGTTTTACCACTGCAACTTAAACTTTTAAACTTGAGGGGTATTTTGCAGAATTATTAAGTCGTCTCACTCTCGTTGCGCACTCAAAAACTCAATATGGCCCGAAATTAATGCACCTCCAATTTTCGGTAGCCACTGGTGTCACTTTATGTAACGTAAGGTATTTCAGCGAATCAAATGACCTTTTATATCACTATTTTCTAGTTATTATTTAAACCTCAAAGACCAACAGCGTTTCGAGATATTTATCTGTAGTAATGGGAAACGCCTTTTGAGTCAATAGTGGGAGCGTGTAAAAGAACTTTGAATCACAGATCTTTTTGACCAAGAACCCCGATATACGCTAAGTATTGTCAAGGTTAGGTTTGAGCGGAAATTTGCCCCCTGCGTAAACCCATTAAGTTTGCACAGATTTGGCAGTTGAATTCTAACTAGTCACCTTGTATCCCGTTGTTTAATGTGTGTACGCACATAGGTAAACTAATCATGCGCATAAGCGCCAAATTATGTCGACATTAAGTTGTATTTGTAAAGCCGCGGTTTAAAATGGAACAAATTCATCTAATGTGGATGTTAGACTAGGATCTTTAAGTTAATTGTCACATTTAAAATGCTGGTATTTAATAGTTAGCTAACACCACTTTAAAGTGTCAGATGTTCCGATGGCGTGTGATGTACTTTCAGAGCATTTTTAGATGACTGAATAGTAACGGCATGAAAACCTTGATATTTCAATATCTCATTAATATCCATTCCCTAAAATTAAATATCATCCCGCTTTTGTTGATTCATTTCACCAAAAAACCAACCACACCTATGCTGTTGTTGATATTGCTTCAAGTCAAGAGCCTGAAAACGCTCATGCAGTCAAACCCATGCCTTCAAGTTTAAAGATACAAAGTCACCGTTGGTATTCGTACATGTAGCTCAGAGGACAAATTCGACAGTGGTTGTGGTTGGCCAGCCTTTTCGCGTGTGGCGGGTGACGCAGCTCCTGAGGGTGAATCGGACACCAACGTCGATCTGCATCCGGACACTTCCCTAGGAATGAACCGTGTTGAGGTCACTTGTAAGTCGGTAAGTTGCGGAGGCTTCCGTTAGTTGTATGATCTCATTGAAACATGGTGTAGCGCAGCTGCCCTACCCCCTACATTAAACACATATTAAAATTTATATCCAAATTTATATCTACACACTCAACGTTGGTTATTTTTGTGTAAAATTTGTTAGCCTTATCCTTTACTTCACATAAGGCTACTTGTGTGTGCTTGCTTTGCTAGCACTGGTATGTCCTCAGAGGGCAGTGGGAACCTACAATAAGTTGGGATGATTGTAGTGACTGCTGTTTGTTGTGCTAATTGGCAGTGGGTAAAGGTGTGGTGCTGGGCGGTGTTGTTTTGACGCATCCCACACTCGTGTACTCCAGGTGCTTGTATCACCTCGGTATTCTCCGTGCACGTGAACGTGTCCATGTACGCCCTCATAGTGTTTTTTTTGTTCTCTCGTAATGCCGTCTTAGTTAGGCATCTGCAATACCGACCGCCTTTACACATCTCCAGCATGTTCCTTGTTAAAGAGAAAAAAAATTGTTTACTAGTTAAAGTTTAGAGTATGTATTGTTAAAATTAGTTTATGTAAACCTAATGCCGTATCCATTGTTTTATTCTCCAAGTTTATTTTGGATTCCACTTAAATTTACTCCACTGTGGCCATTACAATATCAATCTTGTCGATTCTTATTTTTCTCCATCCGCATCTCAAGTGCGCAGCTCATCTCGGCCATGTTTTCGAGGACGGACCATCGCCGACAAATCTGCGCTACTGCATAAACAGCGCAGCGTTGAACTTTCAACCAAAGAACTCTTCAGCTTGACCTTCGCACACATCATGTTCCAATTATTTTGTTTAATCGATATCAGTTGAATGCAAAGATTTCCCATGTACGCTTTCACAAACAACTTATGTTTGGTGATGGCGCACGGTTTCTCCCAATTTGCCGACACCTTCTATGTTATATTGGCGCGTGCGTTACCGATGACTCGATTCATTCCTAACAGTATCCTCTTCTGTCTTATAATGCCTCCACGATTCCAATTCATAATCGAATTTATAGAACGGGAGCAGGCTAAATGTAAATTGCGAAAACTCTCTTTTACACTTAGTTAACTACATCCACAATACCACAAAGTGGAAAGGGAAATAAAAGGACCCAACAAAAAGATGTCAGGATTCAAAAGCAAGAAACGCCGCCCAAACTAGAACGAGAACACTACTTATGAAACAAAGGGAAACGATAGTCCCAATGAGATGTGAGATGAAGAGGAAGGGAATTCATCAGCACTGAAGGTAAAGGCCAAAACCTAGAAACAGCCAAGCACGGCGACTCCAACACCTCAATTTAGCTCTAGCACAGGTTGCGCGAACACCACAAATACGACGCACAGAACCCGGTCCTACGAGTCGCCAACAAGGAGTGCTTGCTACTACTAATGCACCTAGAATGGCAACCACTTGCACACGTCCAAGGCTTTGTAAGTCGCCCGACACCCACGCGGCGAAGCAGTCACTGCGCCAACGACGTGACCTTCAGTGACACCAAGACGAACACTCTATAAAAGGCCATTTATGCGCGCAGACAGTGCTACAAACATGGGTGGCATGCAATCGCTCTACCCTGCGTCACGCACAAACATTCCTGTCTCACACGAGTAGTGGGAAGTCAACTGTCATCAGCGTAGAAAGTAGTCTCAATTTCGTTCTAACTTAATGTCTCCCTTCGCGATTATGACATTTCCTTTGTGGAACGAGCTCACGTAGCCCAAAATGCGTGAACCACGCACATAACGCATTCACTTTCTAACACGATCCATTACTTGTGATCCACTAGAGTTTCATTTTACATCTACTGGGTAACTGCTTCAATGTTCATGGACTACCTTCCCTCCTTTGTAAAGGCCCTACAGTCGTTTTTCATTGAGCAGCAGTTACGATGACGAGCAAGCCTAGAGCCCAATTGACTACAACATTTTGCCCGTGAAAACTAAACTGCCTGACTGAGATCTCGTCTGTCCTGATCACACAAAGTAGACCCAATTCCAATTTAGGTTAATTTCATCTGATGACCATGATATTTCCATTCGACAAGCGGAAATCATCTGGAGTTTATTGAACGCAACGTGTTATTGCTTGTCTGGTTACATATCGCTTCAGGGCCAGAAAACTTTCTAGCCACGCCCTCTTATTTAGGACCTCCACAATAATTTAAAATGCGTTGCTAAAATGCCACACTTCAGAGTACTATACGAAGTTGGTGATAACTTAAATGGGTCTCGTTAATTCTTGGCGTAACAAAATTTTGGTGGAGTTAAAGGCACCTGTTTTCTCTCTCGAAAACATGCACCTTGAGGATGAATTAATGAATTATTAAAAGAATTAATTTAGTATGCGTAGGTTTACAGCCTCGTGTAAGCGTCAGCCAATCACGTGAGAAGTTCCTCCAGCATGGCCTTGTCTGGTCGACTTAGCCGGCAAAGCGACTACACGTGCAGGCTTCAAATCCTAGTGCAACGTGTTCTGTTAAGTGCCTGGATAAAATTTACATTCGCTACCTTGGACTTTTTAGCAATGAATAAGGTTAAAACACAATTGAACGAGAAAGAACAACTAAGGGCGTCAAACGTGCCACATCAAAGAGGTCATTAATACGGTTTTACTTCCCCCATAGGTTTGAAATCTAGTGAAGGCATCACCCATTTAACATTCATTTCACAAGTAGCACTAGAAAGTTTCCAATAGCAGGTACTAAGTGCATTGAAGCGACAGACGCCGTATCACGACAGTCAACTAGGAATCGAGTCATAATAACAACTTTGGAGATTTAGGCACAGGTTTTATCAGCACACAAAGTCACCACTGAAATCTGGGTACATGACAACAAAGTGGCCGTAATTGGAAACCGATCATTGAAACAATTTACTTCGTGGTTTTACTTGCCCATGATGAAGAACCTAGTACAGTAGCGGTACGCGGTCGCGACGTCATTAAACCATCGTCTTGAAGTCACTCCACTATGTGCAAAAATTAAAAGTGTTCGAGGTCATGACCAAGTGTTCCAATTCTGCGGGTTTCGCTATGTTCGACCATGACCCTAAAATTTATTTTTCGTTCAACTCACAATGTTACCTTAGGCTTTCTGCAACTTTGCAACACACAAACAGATGGCTAATCACGAAACAAAACCTATTAATGCATACTGACCATCTGCAGATTTACACAACAATATAGTTGGGTCTTGTGAAGGAGGCACATTTAAGGAAGACTCTCACAATTGACGTATGTTAAAACATAAAATAAACACTAAGTAGACACACAAATAAACTAGCACGCATCGTGGGAACTTATTAACTCTAAAATTGCCGCGTTTATAAAAAAAATCATCAGGAGGAGTCAAACCCGATTCGGAGACGATGAATGTATGTGGTCATATTAAGGTGAGCATGAGCATTGCTAAGGACACGATTACCAAGTGATTAAGGAATAATCGCAAGTCAGTCTGAAGCTTATTGTGCAGGTTTTTTGAGGTCAAAAAATACCAAACAAATACTCATGTCGCATTGGCGAGGGACCTAAGCAAATTTGGACGGAGAACACAGGTCTTGCATTATTTTATTCACCACGTTTGCACTATGAATTGGAGTTCATGCTCAAACAGAGGTAAATGGAGAACAACAATTGCAACAGAAGGAACTAGAATGTGCCTCAAAACATATTACACGTATGCAAGAAGGGAACCTGAATTCGACAACTGCTCCAATTGTGTTGGGAATCCAGGATTCCCCAAGATGGCCCATCGTTGATTTCGTTGTTGTTTACACTAATTCCCTAACATCTGTGTTAATGCGTTTCTATCCATCAGGTCAAGCTTACCCTTGACTTATATAAGTGCTCGCTTTATGACAGATCACTCGCCTTTTGGCTCAGACAATTAAGGCTCTCTGCACGAGCTCTGGCCTTGTCTTGCACTAGCGTGAGAAGGTCGGTTTTAGCGTCAAACAAGGGATCTGGTGCCGTTTATCTGAGTTGATTTTTCTTGGTTATGGGCGAACATAACAGGTTGCCAGTGATTTCAACTGCGCCTAGCCTTTCTTTGTGGCTAAATGAACTAAATTTTTTGCATGCCACAGCAACCTAAATCTATCTGAAGTAACTAACCCAACAAAATAGATACAAGGAACTTATGGGGAAAGGCGTGAAACTTCACTGTGTGAATCTGATGTGGAATCACGAAATTGAATTGAACAAGGGCAAACCGAAACATCACCACATTGATCCACTGCATCTAACTGCAAATCATCAAGCTTTGGTGCAAAAATCAGTTACTGTTACGAGTGTTGGCAAATGTAGTACGCTAAACTCACCAATTCTCCAAAGATTTAACTATGATATCAAATTTAACAGCTAATGGTACATCCAACGATCTTCCTAATTTTGTGACTAAAAAAACGCCTACGAAATATTGGTATAATAAAAGCCATTTCTTAACTACTTTAGTGCAAAACTTCGACTCGGCTCTACTTGGGTTTGGCCTATGATTAGTTACATGAGTATAATGCGGTCTCATTCTAGAGGTCCTTGCAGTGTATAATGCAAACAGGTGGCCCGGATCTAATTTTGCGAAGACTAAGCCATACACTTGGACAATGACCTGGGACCTTTGATGAAAAACGGCTATCTTGCTCAACGAATTCATCATGCACAAACAACCGGCATGGTGTCCTGTCACCAAGCCTGGCCATCATTAGAAAATCAGCACATACTTTGCGTGGTTTAGCTTAAGCTAGCATGATCGCCAGATAAGATATGATCATAACGATTCCGCTATCCCACGATAAGCGAACCGTTAAATGCCATTACCTTTAGGATTTTTGTGCTAGAATAATGTTGATTGACAAGGGTAGAAAGTTCGACGCACACTGAAGTAAACAGACTTAAAGTAAACCATTAAAAATGATTCAGAAACTAGGCAACATTCACTAAGCCTGGTCAAAACCAAAAATGAACACTAAGCTGCGAAAGCCCTGTTTTGGAAACCAGCCATGAGTCCACTTTCAGAAATTTGAAGGACAATTTTAGCACGAAAATGATGCACTGAAGATAATATCGATTGATTGAAATATGCATTGAACGGTTACAAAAACTGTCACGTTTAGCTGCACATAAACCAGAGAAGACAGATTCAACTCTTGTAAGTGTGAAACCGTGTCCAAAACTGCATCTTCAAAACATTTTTTTGAATTCAGAGTGGATTGCGAATTTACAAACCATGGCATGTTATGCTAAAAGATAACAAGAAATAAAACGGGTTCATTTTGGTCCCAAACAAGCGTCACACAAAATCTATACTGGACACAATTTTAACTTTTCCGTTATTTACATTTGAACGGGGAGGTATTCAACAACACACGTGAAAGCCTAATAAATTTTACCGCGATTTTATGCACGCAAGGGCAAGATCAAGGAGTAATGACATCGTATTAACCGTTATGGGTAGAATACTTAGTTGACAGAAGCGCGACTCAAAGTAAAACATTTCCATATTTTACTATCTGGCGACAGAACAGCGTTCCAGCCTAAGGTTCAGCCAGGTGGATTAAGTGACGCCCACTAGAAAGACAGATTTCGAAACCGCCCTTCAAGGATGGCTGGACAGTCAGGCCACTCAGCAGACGTGCGCTCAGTCCCATGTCCAATGGCCATTTCACCCAGCCCACGGATTTCTGCGTAAAGTAAGAAATTGGCTGAAGCGCGAATGCAACTTGTAGTAATCTCAGAAACAACGTTTCAGACCAACACAAAACCACGTTTAGGCACGCACTTGCATGTTGATCCATTACGATTTCTCTTTGACGGTATTGACCTCATGGAAATCTCATCTACATAGCAATGTATAACTTAAAACTGCTAAAGAAGTCGCACTCATGAATGAGAGGGTCTAACGCACAACATAAACCTCACATTAAAGCAGACAAACAGCGCAGTACGAAATAAGTCAACTTAAAATACATAAACAAAAAGACCGGCGTTAAGTAACGTTTTAGTTAATTCAGCCATCGTGAAACTAACACATATACGATTCCTAAAAATATAGGCAAATTAAAAGAATGTTAATGGTGTGTTGACAGTCAATCACAAATTAAAGTGTAAGATAAAAGCGATACCCATAAGTACTAAAATCAATAGCCTTTTCCATAGCTTTGGAAAGAAATATGTTTATAATTAGTTAGTGGATATGGTGAAATGGGAAAATTACTTCAACCTGGGTAATGAAAAAAACGAAAACTTGATAAGCAAAATTGGGCGACAAGAAACGTGGAAAAATTAAAGGATATAAAAAACAGTAGGGATGTCTACGAAATAAAAAGATCTGCGAAATTTCACATACAAAAGATGTAAAAGTTAAATATCGAAAACCTTGAATCACAGACGAGAAGCGATGAAAGGTTGCTGATCAAAAGACCATATAACAAATGCATTCAGTAACACTGTAGCCAAGACAAATGATGAACATTGCGTCCTAAGGGTGGTCTTCAAAAGACCGTTTAATTAAGGAGCTCTCACTAATGCACCTTTTTATTGAGGACAATAAAAACGCGAAAACCCACACACGAAGTAAATAATTTTGTTTTTGGGTCACGATTGTTTTAATGAAACTTACAAGAAAGACAAAAGGTAGTTTTCGAAATCAGGAGGTATATCAATTTTGACATTTCATTGACAGATTTGCGATCTTTGAAGGGTTTATATGTAAACTAAGTCAAGAAAAATGTAAAAGGATTAAACATCTCAAATCACAGCCTTAGTAACAATGAAAAATGTGATGAATGTGAAGGTGAGATTAACGTAAGTACAATAAACTTATAATATAAATTTGCAGCAAAAAAGCCTCAACGAAGTCAACTTAAAATATGACCAAACAAAGTAAAAGATTAATTAAAAAAAAGTCCAAACCTGCTGCTGTGCATTAACAAGTTGATTCACTCGAGCATCAAGACCACTAATAAGGCCATGAAGACCGATCCTTTCTGTATCTGACATACACAGGGCTTCAAATCGGCGTGCAGCATCAAGAATCTGCTGAATGGCCTCTTCTCCAGATGGATCAACCTAGAAACCAAAGACTGACAATCAAAGTATGAGATAAAGTGGACTATCTCAGTAACCGTTTTTTTCTAACCATTATTGATTCAAACGTTTTAAAACGGTCACCTGTGAGAAAGCAAACTACAAGTAACTAAGGGCTACCAGATAAATTATGTACCGAAACGGCTGGAAAATCTAAGGTACAAAAAAATTAAATCCTACTTAGCCACGACAACTTAGAAAGAAACTCACAGCAGGATTGGCCAACCATTCATCTGCAAACTTGCTGTTACGACCAATTAAGTGAAGGTCATTGTAGTCGCCCAAAGAATATGGGTCGTCAGAACTTGTTAATTGAAGTCCTCGTATAATTTCATGTATTTCATCGGACATCTGGCGCAAAAAGTAGTCCCTATTTGACTGTGCTTCGCGGGCAGCGGGTAGGCCTTCAAAAAATGCAAGCTCGTTAAAATAGGCGCACGTCTTTCAATTATGGCACCTATTACACTTACGTTGTTGTGTGGTATTGAGGTAGAGCTTGATGGAAGATATTAAAATAGGGGTGATACGTTTAACTTGAGCAATTCCGCGCTGTAGAAGTTCCGCATGTGACTTTATAACAAGTTCATCCTGTCTTTCATCAACCTCTTTGATCATTTCTGCCATTCCAGGGGTAAGACTCTATATAAACACTACTATCAGTACCTTTATAACACAAACTTTAACAAAGTCTGCAAGCTCAGGGAAATTTTTAATATCAGGGACAGTGTTAAGCATTTCTAGTACAGCCTTGCAGCAATCCACGATTTTTCGCACTTCCGACATATCAAAGGCAACTAGCACCGCCCAAGTGCCCTGCAAAATTCCACGGGAACCATCTATCAGTTTTTTGCGACCAATTGTGGAAAAGGGATCTCTCGAGAGCAGTTTGACAGCATCTTGAAGAAAAACGGATGCCTCCTCGACGCGAACAAGTGCAGGAGGCATATCATTTTTTAAGATTTGGTCGGAACTTTGGCGGATAGTCTCATACCCAACCTTAACGTGTGAATAAATTGCGATAGTTTACTTTCACAAGATTATCAACCGCCATTTTTACAACAGAAACCCTGTTAGCTAGGTCAGGAGTATCCCCGGCTGTGCCACCATCTTCGAATAATAGGATCAATTTAGACACCTTAAAAAGTTATTAGGGCTATCAAAAAACCTGTTGTGCAACAGGATCCAGTATACGGCCGATTGTCTTGGAATGGGATGACGACATTGTGACCACCCCCAAAAATAATATTTGGCGGTGTTATCCGATAACTTAAAACAGAACGTGGCTTGACCTTAAGAAAAACTTTGTCATTTACAGACTAAAACTCAACTTAGACAGGACTTCGACACTTTTTGCATGTTTTTTTAGGACATTTGAGGGTTTAAAATATAGCACCATTAATAACAAAGAGAAATGGTTTTTTGTTAAAAATTGTTAATAAATTCAGTTGCTATAATTTCAGGTATGGCAGTCGATACTTATGTTGAACGCATCAGGCCTCTCCAGCTTACTGTGTTAAAACTGCTTATGCCCGTCAAAAAAATTGTCGTAATTTCTAATGATAATACTCGAGTAAATTATCGAAGCAATAATTTCTGATAAGGCGACATTGATAAGAAGAAAAACAAATTGGGAGTAATGTGTAATTCTGCATGACTAAGCAAAAAGATAAGTTTAAAACAAAAAGGAAAGAATTCACTATACTAATACAAATAGATAAAAAACAATTTATTTCAAAAGTGAACACTAATCAACCCGAAATCGGTCTCAGGCAGTACCGGCGACAAAAACACGCCAAGGAACTATTTCATGTCACAAATGTACGGACTAACTGTGCTAGTACTAGAGAAAAAAATTTTAATTGATTTGTGACCAACTGTACCTTAATAGGGAGGATCAATTATATTCTTAAACTAGATTCGACGATTCCAGAATAGATTAAATTTTCACAAAAATATGTTTTTAGGACAAAGGTTGTTGAATATCAACAAAAACATATAGACTAGCTACATTTAAGACCAATTTACTTAAAGCGAATTACAGCAAATTTGTTGTTAAAGTATGGCACATTTCTAGGTCGAGAGGAACCTTATTGGCTTCTAGTGATGTTCTGACAATCGAGTCCAAGTACAAATGCTTTATAGCGCATCATTAATTTCTTAGTTCCGCTGAGTGCTTCAAAAGCGTTTGATGTTGTTAGTACGTCACCATTAAGGTTAATTAGGTTATTGTACTCCACTTCGTCCAGACATTGACTTAGAGCCATTTGAACTGCAGACGTTAATGATAAATGTCGATTTTGGCAACTGCATGGATATCACATAAATTCATAGTTAAATCTTCGGAGAATTGGTGAGTTTAGCGTACTACATTTGCCAACACTCGTAACAGTAACTGATTTTTGCACCAAAGCTTGATGATTT